AGTGTCGTTAAATATTTACACAATGTAACAAAAAGTTTGTATATTTGTTTTTGGGATTAACTGGTAAACAATCAAACGGATCACCTGATGGTAAGCAATCGGCGTTGTCCATGGACAACTGAAACGCACAGAGGCGTTACAAGTGCGTTACCGACCTTTTGGAGATTAAGAGTTTGAGTATTGTTGGGGATTTGGGAGCTTGGGGAGGGGTGATTGGCCCGACGAAATACAACGCAAGCGTTGTTTCACATCGGTATTCTGTGAGGCCATATACCATGGCCGGATTCAGGAAATTATCGGAGTTTTAACTCCAATAATACTCATGTGATAAGAGTTTGTCTCTTCATAAGCATACATTTTTTACCTAAACTCGTAAAATATGACCCCTGGACATTCGTAATGAGATTTTATCACTTGAAACACGGGGTTATTATTTATGACCTATGAATCAAGCAGTGAATTAGAGGTATTCATTAAATGCATATCCATAGAATCTGCTATACGTTTTACTACTTGGGATGCATAAAAAGTGTGGGCAGTTTGCGTGGGTATATAATAATTTCGTGGGCGGCCACATCCATTGTTTTGAATATCCCTGTAATCCCTGTACCATCCCCTTGCGCCCCGCCTCCCCACAGCAGCCTGCATTATTTTACTGCAAGTTACGCAATATAATTAATACATTTCGGCATAACACTAAAATATTTGTTTGATGAACTGAAATTTTAACATGTTTCATAATTTACTGATGGTATTTTCGCAGCCATTATGGAATTTTGTTAATGTTGCCCAATGAAACATATTATATAACTGTTAATTTCGGACTTTTTACGCGAAACTGGCTCTTATTGTTTCTAATAATGAATTGGCGATGCAAATAAAAAGTGTTCTTTAGCAAAAACAACGTATTGTAGTCACAATTTTATTTACCTGATGGCCTCATTGGACTAGGCGTCGCAAGTGCGACTGCCGAGAGACGGGGGTCTCTGGTTCGATTTCCGAGTGGGTCAAAATATTATACTTCAAAATATTGACTTCTTTTTTTAAAAAAAAACAATATTCGCACGGAGTCTGGAATTGTGCCCGGTATATGACAATAGGTCACCCCTATTAAATGAGACTCATAATATACCTCTAAATAGTGAAAAGTGGAAGTTACATTGTACAGTGGCATTCAGTGCCGAAATGTGCACCTCAGCCTACCCCTTCGGCGATAAAAGAAGTGACCTAGCTTCACCTAGTTTCACTGACGGACTGACTGACAGACTATTATTTATTATGTATTTGTTGACGTTTAAAAAGTACCAAACTATGGTTTAATTGGAATAAATGCTTTGACTTTGACTTTGATGTTAACTTTCGTAATTATAATTATGATGGTGTAGTACACCTACTACAGGTTGATAATTTGTTGATAATTGATGCGTATTTCATGTTCTTTGAAGGTTTGTAGAATTCATGTGATGACAGCAAAGAAACGGCACGATGAGCGCTGTGGCTGGGCAACGTGTAGCGGGTTCGATTCCCGCACAGAGCAACTCTTTGTGTGATCCACAGATTGTTGTTCCGGGTCTGGGTGTGATGTGTATATAAACTTGTATACCTATGTTTGTAAAACCAGGAGAAAATCCTAGTGAGGTGCGACGTTTAATCAAGAAAAAATAAGGAATAATATTTAATTAATATGAATAGTACATTTACCTACCACCATCCCTACTCATTCCGTGGTAAGCGTAGAAGCCGACTACTGAACTATATTTGACACAGTTATATCGAAATACTCAAGTAAGTAAGTGACTCAGTCAAGTGTATTTCTGTCACTAAAAATCTTTGTAAAATGACATAGATGGCATGATATTAAAGTACCTACAACTTCAAATTAAGTACCTTTTCAGTATTTGGGCGTTAGGGCAGCAACGCACTCTGATAAACCTGTATCTATAATTTTCAATATACCAGCTAGGCGTAAAGTGATGGGATTAAAAGTGGTAGGATGGTATGTAACACATATTATTATATCTCCACACTAGAGTACTCTATGAGTAGAGGTCAGCGGAGTACCGTTTTCATTTATTTTGTAGCCTTGAATAACATTTGTCGATTTTGCAAGTACGTGATTGAGTCAGTTAAGGTGTTTATTTGTTTTATTTCGTTGCAATAATTAAGTAAAAGTTTATTGTTTAATTGGTTATCGTTAACTGGTCATGAAGTTAGTTTTATTCTTAAAAAAATATTTATTAAGTAATAATAATATTATAAATACAAATAACTAAGAACTAAAATTTTTTCCCGTAAAAAATAAAAATGTTAGCTTAAAAAAAGTACGTTTAATTTAAACTTGGTTAAACTGAACTAAGTTAGTATGTTTAATTTAAACTTAGAACTTTTTTCTTTTTTTTAGTTTAGTTTGTTTATGGCCGGGAAATTAGTGTTCCACCTCGGTGTTTGATGTAGTCGACAAAAACCGTGTTAAAATTATTTACGGTGACGCATTTTCTATAAACGCGGACGTCGTATGATATGTAGGTTTGGATACAAATCATGTGTTGTAAAAATAAAGATTTTAGACAAGATTCAAGTATTGAAGGATCTCGTATTTCGTGGATGGAGTTACGTGAGTAAAACGAAAACCTATTCGAAATTTTTACTCTAATTTTTGGCATTTAATTGTTTAAGTTATAATCTGTCTTGTTAGAATTGTTATAAATTATTCAACCAGTTTAAAATTCTTTGTGGGATTCACATATAGGAGCAGAAGGGCCTGAGAGCAATCAGCACTACCAATAGACAGCCACAATATCAGATCAATTTCAAGAAGGTTAAGGTACTAACTGTCGTGAGACATACTAAATTACCGCAGCTCACTGATGGGACGTCGCCGCGACCGCGCACGCTGCTCATGAGGAAGAACCCCTCTGTGGTTCGAAACTAGTAGAGCTTTTCTCAGTATATTCACGTGAGTTTCTCGCGTTTTTACTTAAGTTAAGGTACTGTTACATATGCTAATTTAGGTATTCAGGTATTGGCGACTGATTTGCGATGGTACATTACATAGATGCTAAGAAGATTTCGTCATTATTGCATGTAATAACGAGTTTTAAATAGGTAGTTAATCTATTTAAAAGGATACAAATGGAATTAGTTAATTATGTTCACGATATATGAATACTAAAGTGTCACAAAAATATTTTGAGTAGTTTATAGCTTATACCACCTTTTTTGAAGCTCATTGTTATTATTACAAATATCAGTAATATTAACAACATAATAAAAGAGTAAAAATAAGTAAAAACCCAACAAAACATTTTATTCGTAAGTTCTCGAAAAATCGTCGTATTTTCGTGAAAATTCGTTTAAGGCTCCTCTCTGAGACGTCCGTCGCTGTCGGCAAACAGCGAGCTACTGGCCTATTGGTCGACTGTGAACTGTGAACCTCCCCCTCCTGTCTGCTCCATAAACCTAAATGATAAATTGTTTCCCTACTGAGTTTCGTAGTCTTAGAAAATGTAGGTTCCGAACAGAAAACATTTAATCTGATATTAGTTACGCCGTGTGGGGACGGTGGACTGAAATTTAATTCAAATCATTTATGAGTTGACTTCTCCAATACTGGTTGGAATAAAATCGATTTTCGACATAAGTTTGATTCAAGATAGTTAGCAATCGATTTTGGTTTTAATCGCACCTTAGATTTTTCGTTAGCCATTTTTTTAAGGGGGGAAAATCATCGAATTACTACTCCCGCCCGGCTGGGGCGGGAGGGAGTGTTAGACTCTTACTAACTAAAAACCTCCCCGTTCCTTCTGCACGTCGAACCGGAGCCACGGTAACCCGTTAGGTTCTCGGCGACAATTTCGGCCATTACCGACTATAGAGGTATAATTGACTATGTATAGAGATTTGGCAGCAACCTTTTAAACTGCGATTTGCTACCCCTACCACCGGCTGCGGAGATTATAGCAAACCCTTTTATGTAGAGGCCCTTAGTTCAATAGTCAACTGTAATGAGTTGTTGATGTTTAGGGCAACCAGTAACCTGATGTTTTTGTCCAGCTGTTTAAACGGTTAAGTCCAATCTTAAACATTATTGTGTTGAGTGTTGCATCGCAATGCAGCATTACTATTAACTATTTTTAACTGTATTTATAAACAATACCTACATATTTTATGTTACACATCTTCATTTACTTTCACTTTTGAGATACAGCTGTAATCTTCTTTAATATGTGATGATTCTTCAACGAATTCTGGTTCTGGGTCATCAACCTAGATTTTAAAATCTGCTAGCATATTAAGTGTTGCTTGTGACAATGGGCCGGTTGTGACATCACTAGAAATAATATATCGTCAAACGTATTTAATTTTGTGTGAAAAGAAAAAATATGTGTTTCATGTTTTAAATTATTATGTAATCAAAAAATATAATTTAGGAAACTAACCTATTGGCAGAATTATCATTATATATGTTTTAATTGATTTTTTTATATTTATAATATAATATATTAATACTTACTAATATTATAAATCGGAAAGTGAGTTTGTTTGTTTGTTCCGCTTTCACGCCGTAACTACTAAACCGATTGCTTTGAATTTTTGCAGACGTAAAGTTAGAAGTCTGGATTAAATAATAGAGTACTTATTAACCCGGAAACATTTTATATTCTCGAGGGAAAACGAAATTATTGGTATAGATGGCGCTATGTGTATTGCTATATGTCACATAGGCTACTAATCCTTTTGTGACGCAAGCGAAGCCGCGGGAAAAGCTAGTATATAATTAAATTTGCTAATTTTCACCGGGTCGACCCCGAGAAGGAGAGACCTCCACATCATATAAGTAATATAAATTATTTATACCATATAAGAAAACATTAGTTTTCTTAGAAAATACCACACACGTATCCAGTATTTGCAAATAAAAAATATTAACCATGCCGTCTCAATAAAGTGCAAGCAATTTCATAGCTGACTAACTTCCAATGTTTGTAAGTAATCAATGTTGCTTCTACTCCTAGTTTTTGAACTGACTTTACAAAGAACTACGTGACTTTATCTAAAAATAAGTGAGTGGACATGTATTGAAAGATTTCAAGTGATACAAAATGAGAATAACAGTAATGTATTATTATATTATTTATATAATTTAGCGTAACATCTTCTCTTTTGAACCTCAAATTAATAGTTAGATGGAAACATTTTCATTATAGCACCGACTTTTCACTTGTTCTTAAGAATCCCATGTATTGTAATGCCTATAATAATGGCTCAAAAGGCCGGTAACGCACTTGTAACACCTCTGGTGCTCCAGATGTCCATGGGCGACACCGATTGCTTACCATCAAGAGATCCGTCTGCTCGTATACCGGCTTATTCCATAGCAAAATGGATTGATCCTATTTCCGTAAACGTAGCATAATTTCAGACTACGTGCTACAAAAAAGATATTTAAAAAGCCGAAGCACTCCAATTTTTTTAAGCCTGAACGTTTTATTTTACATTAACTAGTATTTCCAATAATTACAACCCTAAGTTTGATGTCTTTCCACACGCTCCGGTTGCCGAGTAACTGGTGCCGGATGTCCGGAAACCGGAGCAATTGGAAATGGGTCTTATAGGGGAAATAGAACTTCTAAAGTTTACATTGTTGCAAAAAAAGTAATTAAAAACTTCCAATTCGAATTGAAATGAGGTTTTATGGTTTTAAGGGAAAAAAATATTTTCGAGCATGTGACCGGTGGAGTTGGCAACAATTTTCACAATAAAAACAAATTAAAGAAAAAGTTTTTTAATTAAAACTTGATCGCGGAAGTAAACAAATACTTACAACTTGTCCATTTGGAATATAAACTTTGTTTTGTCGTATTGCAAAACCCTTTTGGTACAAATACCACGTGATTTCGTTGTACCTATTAAAATTAGTTCATTAAACACCGCTACAAATAGGGAAGCACGTTTTTCATTTGCTACTTTGCTTCGATGTAACGTTTCCTGCAGGGAATTCTTTTAAAATTTTATGAAGTTTAATTAATAGCAAAGAGAAGCTGTGTAGTTTTCGAAAAATATACCTACCTTATATAATTTCGTAACTACATACCACTTAGTTGAGGCTCAATTGACCGACTCAGTACAAGAAAGTTGGAAAAAGGCGGACGTATTGACATTTGTAAATAAATAATTGAAGCACCATTTTTTCGTGCAAATTTGATAGGAAACGGCTTTGGAAATTATCCCGATTGATACTTATTAGATACTAGCGACCCGCCCTGGCTTCGCACGGGTGCAACATGCATGTATTATACATATACTCCTTCCTCAAAAATCACTCTATGTATTAAAAAAACCCCATCGAAAAACTTCCGTAGTTTTAAAGATCTAAGCATACATAGGGACATACAGACGGCGGATAGCGACTCTGTTTTATACTATGTAGTGATAACCCTTTTATGTTTTTTACAGTTAAAAATATGCATGACATTACTATTAATAAAAATGGCGACCTCATCAAGTATATTCGATGCGATAACTAAAGAAAAAAGAAATGAAAACGCTATGCTGCTCAGCAGGGTGGTCCAGTACATAGTTGATACAAAACTACGTTCAAAGAGTAGGAGAGCATACGATGATTTACCATTGAGAAAATCTAGAAATTCCTATAGAGGCCGAGGAAATGCACCACGACCGTCCCTGAGGATACCTGAAGAAGCAAAGGTATTAAGAGATGATCATGCACAATTGGTTGAACAAGAATTAAAAGGTGCTTTGTCTCATAAGAAGTCAGCTCTCTACGATAGACCATTTGTTGAGAAACGAGGAAAGAACGATTATCTGGTGATGAGGCCAGAAGTAGTGGATCCTTTCGTCACAGTGGTACCGAATCAGATGTACTATAATATTGAGAAGACCTGTGTCAACTGGCTGGATGACTGTAGTCTAAACGGTATAAGAGACAGACTCCTAAGAGGATCTACATCATATAGGAAGAAGTAGTTTAATAATTCTCCTCATCGATTGAGGAAAATATGATAAAGAATTGTTATTATTAGCTATGTATGGCCCGTCTAGATAGAGTACATTATGTATGTTTAATAAATATTTTTTTAGTTTCTATTATACGTCACGTAGTCCATTTTTAATTCCAGAAAGGATAGACAGAAATTGCCTACTTTTTAATAGATAAATCATGGTTATAGATACTAAGATTTTTACTTGACCCGAAGATCGAACGCAAGACATTTATAATATAACATTAGTAAGATTATAATAAAGCCTGTTAGTTATGTTAAGAGTCTTAATAGGGGGAAAAGTTTATGTATGGAGCACCCAGGCAATGGCCTGGCAATACTTTTCAATAAAAAAAATTGTTCGAAGCGATAAATTTAAAACCTAGTGTTCGATAGTTCTGAAAATTGAATTATTTTCTGTAACGTAAACCTGTATTTCATAGCGTGTTATACGCATGCAACTGGTTATCGATCGGCATAACTTGCTTCCTAGAATTTATCGTGTGTTTCTACCTCTAAAGGGCAGGTATCAACTAGGGAACATATTTTATCATTCCATATACGTTCCCAGGTCGTATGGTGACGATGGGGTAGAACATATTTGTCACCACGCACCGCTACTATTCCCGTAGGTTTCGTAAGATAGTAACTAATTTAATAGAGATTAGATAGCAGCGCCCTCTGATTTAAAACTAGGATCTTCAACACGCCTGCTCATTTTGGAGATAATTTACTATGTAGACAGTGCGACATCGCCGCGACCGTTGCTCTTGAGGAAGAGTCCCGCTGTGACTTGAAATTCTCAGCATATTAACGTGAGTTACTCGTAATTTTTAGTTAATTTAGTTAGTTATGTAGAGGAAGCACATAGAAGCATTCAACTGCACTGTATCAATTAAGTAACTCATCATTTAATCATAGTATTGTCGTAGCTCTGTCGGGTTATTTCAAATTAAAACAGAAGACTGCACAATTAATAGTATATAATAATACGGCTCGCACCGATACAAAGAAATGCCCGAATGCTATGGCTGGCGTGTGTCGATGAAGAAGAAGCGCGGCGCTCGCGCGGCCGTGGGTTTTTATACCCCGTCCCGCGCGTCGCCGCCTCTATGGTCGATGGCCATACTAATGCGCCGACAGTATAAAGTATTAATAGTGGTCAAACGTCGGTCCATCAAATATACAAAAAAAAAGTATTCCCAAGACATAGATACTTCTTATTCAAATATTATAATCTTATTGCTAAATTACTTAGTATGAGAAGGTACTTTAGCATTAATGCCAGTGCTTATTTCTTAAGGAAATTAGGTGTGATGTAATTCTAATATTACAGGCAGCTAGCTGTAAAATAATTATGACGAGTATAAAACTATAATTCATTATCGATTATTTTTTCCTAATTAACATTTCAGTAAAATTGTCAAGGTAGTATTTAGAAAATATAGTTTTGCTGGATTGAGAAACATGAAAATGTAAGTAGTATCCAAAACAGGGACTGGGTAAGCGGAAAGCTGAACTTGTTAAACAATCTTACCTGTCGGGCTTGCAGAACACGTCAATCCCTCTTTATATCGAGGAAGCTAACATTCCATCAGTGTACCGTCAAAGGCTATTGATTTTGATATAATTATCTAGAATTTTAACGAAGTCGTACTATAATGGACTTTTTATAAAAGACTAATCTAAGGAACTTACAATTTTGTATAATGTTATTAGTACACTATGATAAAATGTAACAAAAGCAATGCTATTATCTGTAACAACATCATTAGCTACGAAGGGATTAAATACTAACCCTGTCGAAGTGGAATAACACTCAAGTAGACGGTTCCGTATAAATTTAACTTGCTTCAGCCCTTATACAAACTCTAACTTCGTACTAAGTCCTTGGTAAGCTACCTCGTTGATTGAGCTAAGTATAATTGATTTTCGAAATTCTCAGTAATAGCCTGGAGTCTGAAGTTATGACTTATGCCCCGTGTACCGTAAGACTCGCTTCTACGTACCTATCTACATAGTAGTACCTCAAGTACCTATGTATATCTACAATATAAAGGGGAACAAATGAACTTTAGTTATAATTAGTTACAAGTGTCTTTATTTGTTTATCATGGTTTTGTGTTTATATTAAAACTTTCGTTCTAAATTAATTATTATGTTTTCGGCTTACTTACATATTTTTTTGACGAGGAACGCACGTAGTAGCAGCGCGATTGTCGCCGCGTCGCGGGTCGCGGAATTCTGATTCATGAATAGCCTAGCCTGGCTTGAAATTAGTATAGTTCCTCGTCAAACAGTTACGTTAGTAAGTCTAAAACATAATAAATATCTTGACATTGATAAAAATCAGTTCGTTATCTTCAGTATAAATTCAGAATGAACTTCAGAAGCCTATGAGAGTCCACTTCTGGACCATGGACAGTGCTTGGCAGGCAGGTTGGACACAGCAGTTTATACCAAGAATCACTTAATAGTTTATTAGAGCGCTGTTGTCCAGTCTCCTTTGTTACCTGTGGATAGAGACAAACAATTTTATTCTATTTTAAAGTCATCACGGCAATATAATAATAATAATGATGGTTCCAGGTACATTCTGATGTCCTTGGTGGCACTGTTTTCAATAACAGCCACTCTAGCAGACAATGAGACACTTATGACCGCTGTGGTCACAGTCTTGTATTACAGTGACGAAAACGGGGACAAAATAGTGGTAGCTGGTAATATAGATAAGGAAATCGAACGTATAATACACCATTTCATCAATGATAACATTGGAAAGGATCTGCGAGTGGAAATCGTACCTATCTACGAAAAAGTATCTGAAGTCCCACCTGTTGACATACTTCACAAGGTAATAGAAGAAAAGTATAAACACGTCTATATGGCATATGCACCATTAAGTGTCATCAGAAGGGTAACAACAGAAAAGGCACTACAATTCAAACCAAAATTCTTGGCTGACCTTAAGCACCATAAAGTCATCAGTTTTGCTAGGGGTATAAGAAACCTGATTGAAGAAGCAATCGAAGCGGACGGTAATACGGATATTGGTGCGATGGATGACCGTTTGCACATGAAATCATATTCTTCATTGGTTCTAGATTCTTCTATTCCAAACGCTATATACTTCTCAATCGGTCGTAAATAAATTGTTTTTCAATAAACACTCAAGGACTTCTAATGTTGTTTTAATTGTGTAATTGTGCAGCCATGATGTCGTTTTTTTAATGACGGAACCTTTAAATAGTGCCTAGCATTTTGAGAAGAAGGATCAGGGAATCTAGCGAGTGCAAAAAGCAATAATCTCGCATTATTGCCTTACTAAAACAAACCCGGTGGCCACCCTCAGCACCTGTAGGGGACACCGGATCTGTTAGAGGTAACAGACCTGCCCGTTCTGTTACCTCTAACAGATCATAGCAGAGATTATAGCCCCCCACAGTGCAACGCCAATTGCAGCACATCCCTAGTGAGACGCGCGTCTTGTCTAAAGTTGCATGGCAGCACGTGACCCCTGTGTTACCATCTTCAGAGTCTCCACTCTAAGCAACCGTGACCCCAATAATTTGTGTAATCTAGCGTTCTGGTTCTACATTTAAAAGGTATATGAAGAAAATAGTTTTCTTCTTATACATTTTAAAATACTCAAAATCACCCTGGATTATTTAGAAAACTGCAACAAAATTAGATGTGCTGGTCAATGGCAGATCACATTCGAAGTGCCCCAAGTCATCTTTATATTCCAAGGGTTGAAACTACCACATTTATAATGACTCGCAGGAACCGCGACGGGTACGTACCGTCACCGTTGTCGCCCCGCCGCGGTCTTATACAAAAGTGGACCCCACCAGTGGTGGATCACGTAGTTTAACGCAGTTTTGAGCGTAAGTTGCTTCTTGTTCTAATGTGCTTGCTCGGTCTGAGTATTATTTGTAGGTCCCTATACACGGTTAGTACAATACAAAATCCAATATTTCGGCAAAAACTTATTTTTTTAAGCCAATAAATAAAAATTTACGCCATCTATGAATATGTATTAGTAAAATATTGCTGTACATTTTTCTTTGAAACTATAAAGACTAAACTAATAAATTTGAGTGATGATTTTATTAGTATAGTCGAAAAATAAGGCACATATTCTGTTAGTCAGTCCTGACTGAATTAGTATATCAATATATAAAAAATGAATCCATTTTCCCTTGGTCACGGCACCAAGCGTGAATGGCTGGACCGATTTCACTATTTTTTTTTGTTGTATTTGGTATTATTAGGAGAAGGTTCCTAAGGCAGGAAAAATCCTAAAAATCCTACGAGAACGGAATAAAACGGGATTGCGCGTACGAAGTCGCGGGCAGACGCTAGCGGTTTAGATATTTGTTAGCTATAATATGGCTATAACCTCAACCTCTGCCACAAAGGACTCAAAGAATGGTGAACAGTAGGTGTTATATTGCTTACATACTCTGTCTACAGACTATTTAAAACCCGGAGGGCTTGCTATTTAATGGCGCAATGGTATTGTTAATGGTTGTGTTTATCTGATAAATTTAATTAGAATATAATCAGTTTTTATTACATTACGTTAATTTAGTTTCCTTTATAATGTTTTTGAAGGTAAGTATACCTTTAATAAGATTTCCTTGTTTAATTACTTATTGGAATTGGACTAGTTGAAACCGACATTGTTCAAGACCACAAATTGGACGAAAATCAATAATGAAAGTGTATGTTAAGTATTCTGAATATCTTGTACTATGTACTTGTTATTATTATCTAGAGTACGAAGCGAACATTAAAAAATGTATTTGGTTTTTTGCAAAGTACTGATCGTTTATCATCTAGGCGACACAATATTTCTCGCTTGCCCTCTGTTTCTTTTATTAAATAATCATTACAAAGTTTTTTCCAGGCCCGTTATAGTAGCTTTGGGTATTATATCATGTATTTCAACTACTTTGGCAGAAGGTAATGAAAAGAAAAGTTATGTACAGGCAACTGTATTGTTTTACGTCGACGATAACGGCAATAAGGTAGTAGCCGCTGGTCACGTCCCTAAGAAAGTGGTCAAGATAATAAAAAGAAACCTTAAAATGATGGGGAAGTACGTTAGCGGAGAAATTACGTCAGCTTTCAATGATGTACATGATGTACCACCGATCGAGCAAGCAACTGAAATAATTAAACAAAAATACAAACTCGTTTTCGTAGAAAATGTTCCAAAAAGTGTTATGTTTAAGATAATGGCACACAAAAGACGACAAATGTCAAACATTACATCCCACTTACAGCATTATGATGTGTCAAATTACACGGATAGCGTTAAAAGTCTCACGAAGAACGTGCTAAATAAGAATCTCGATCCAATCCCGAAACATTTCGAAACAGCTCCCATGATTATAAATTCATACGTTCCCAACACGGTGTACTACGCTATCAATTTCACGGAGCACCCAGTTTTTCATAAGAACAGCAACTTCAAAGACATCCTCTTTAAGATGAGCAACGCCTGGAAAAAGATTAAATCAGTTATTTCCTAAAATTGTTATGAAAGATTAAAGTGCCTTCTGATAGAATTATTGGTTTAAATTATGTATTATTCACGTGGAGTTTGGATTCGTGAGAGCTGTGTAAAAGTACTCGTGAAAATAAGAAATTATATACAAAATGACTGATTGAAAAATCTAATTTTCTCTTATTAGTCATTTTTTGCATTATTATTTTACGGTACTTTATGTTGATGTTACTCCAAATGTTTAGTTGACAATCCCAAGACATCATTACAATTTTCAAGTAACTAAAACAACAAATACTTTGCCCGACTTGGGAATCGATACTTGGGCAGGTGCCGGCAGTCGCACTTGGAATCACTCGACTACGAGACAGGTTTCAGTAGTGTTCGTTGACAAGGGAGACGAAGGGGGTCCTCCTTACGACACTTTTTGCGTTATAAAATTCTTCTAGCCTTTTCGTGTTATAATATAATGCAGCTCCCACACTCTCTGTTTAAAATGTTTACAAATATTAGTAAATATATGCTTCCACGCGGTTTCATCCGTTCTGCTCCACGCCTGTTGACCGTACCGTAATGTTTTATAGCCTTCCACGATGAATGGACTATCCTCAACCAAAATATTGTTTCAAATCGGACGAGTAGTACCTAGGATTAGCGCGTTGAAACCAACAAACAAACATCAGCTTTATATAATAAGTATAAAGTATACAATATTTGTATAATATAATATAAGATATTTGTATCCGCAACATTTTATTTACGACAAAATTGTTAGTAAAATGTTTTTCAATATTATTTCATTCAATTACATGACTGTTGAGTACCTATCATTGGTAACCAAGTAAACCTATTATTAGTTACCTATTATTGATGCCTGCAAATAAACAGGTTTTCTTATTCAGTAATAGCTGTTTTAATGTACACTAAAATTTTGATTTAGCCAATATTTTACCTTTCTGTGGATTTTTTCCTATCAGCCGCTACTAGAAGGTGTCTTCAAATTGCTAGTGAATGTTAGCTATGACTTCAAATTTAGATATTGTAAATAAACTTCTAACCGAATGTAACAATCTGTTAACAAACGTACTACTGTTAGTATGTTTGTTAACATTGTTAACACTAGTGTGGCCGCAACCTAATAAGTTCTTATTACGCTTGTGGTTGCATTGTGAAGCTGACACAAGTTTGGACGTTCTTCCAGTTAGGAGCTCTCATGATGAGGTCTAGCTCGTTAGTTGGATGCATCTCAAGAACATTTCTATTGTAGAGAAAACTAGACAAGGTCAAAGTATTTCTTTCAATTTCTTTTGTAACCTAACTCCAGAAAATCCTAACTAAAGATCGACGAACAAATAACTATGGGACGACGTGCTCCATCGTAGACCGCATCATCACTTATCATCAGGCGAGATACTGGTCAAACGTCGGCCCACCAAATATAAAAAATAATAATAATAAACCTACTTCGCATTTATAAGAATGATAAGAAAGGATATTAAGATATCTCAGATTTAGAATCCTATTCTTATTGATTCATCTCCATTAAAACAATTTATTAAAAGAAAATTGATTTATTTGAAAAACCTAATTATTGTTGTGTAATACAAAAATACTGGTCGCAATTAAGTTAAAGTACACACTAATGAGATTTTCAGTTTCATTTAATTAACTGCTAATTACACATTTATTGTAGGAACAATTTCTTCTGCATACTATACCTACATTACTTGACGACATTCAGTCACAGCAGTTGAATTTGTTTTGCAACATGAAGTTGTAAGTAAATGATCCTACTAATATTAAAAATGCGAAAGTTTGTGAGGATGTATGTGTGTGTGTGTGTGTGTGTGTGTGTTTGTTACGTATTTAGAGGTACATACTTCAACAGCCTATAAATTTTACCGCTGATCAAAACCTCTTTTGACACGGAGAAGGATAGAGCATTAATCACCACGCTTGCTCAATGCGGGTTGGCGATTTCAAACTTTTAATTAGAAACCATAAGTCCAGGTTTCCTAACGACGTTTTCCTTCACCGTTTGTCGGTGGTGTCTAAATAATCTTAGAACTAACTCGGAATCTCCAGTTCCTCTGCCAAGTGTGGAGATAATTGAAAGTATTGAATCTGTCCTAATACCTTTATAAGAAGGAATACATCGTAAAATTTATTTCGTTTTCGTCCCGAAGTACAATGGTTCTGTCTCGGTAATAGGTACAACAATATTTAAAACAAAAAATAACCATTGCATTAAGCAAACTTCGTATAGTACATAATCTCTCAATGTAATTCTCCAAGAGGCATTTCACGTCGGTTGGCATTGGCACGTACGATGCAAATAGTACCAACAAAATTTAAATGTACTGTCTCTTATGCGAAATACAATGAATATTTTTTTAAACAAAAACAATAATTATATATATTAAATTTTAGTTTTTACTTTATACAATGAAAATATTCCGTATATCAAGTTCTTTTGCCGCAGGACGAAAACGAAATAAATTTCACGGTTAATAGTCCAGCAATTTACTGTCGCGTGTTGTAGATGTCGAATATGTTGACAACATGGTTAGTGCGGTGGCTGGGCAACCGGCTGCCACGCAACTGCCGGCTGTCACGGGTTCGCACGGAGCAACTCTTTGTGTGATCCACAGATTGTTGTTTCGGGTTTGGGTGTCATGTGTATGTGAACTAATAGTATGTTTGTAAACGCAACCACGACACAAGAGAAAATCCTAGTGTGGGGCAACGTTTAAAAAATCAAAATAGAATAGAATACCTACAAATTTTTTTAATCATTGGTTATTTCGTAATTATGTTCATAATAAGACTTTTAGTTGTACACTAAACAGTTATTTAGCCTTTAGAATCAATAGTTTTCATCAATTGCCTTTTTTCAGGTATATTTTAGTCTTCTTGGCTGTCCTGTCCTATATATCAGCTACCACATCGAAGGATGAAGATAAAGAACAGTACGTACTGGCTACAGTATTGTTCTATTGCAATGGGATAGGAGATAAAATAGTAGCTGCTGGAAAAATACCAAAGAAAGTGCAAATTATGATAAAATATAAGCTCCATCAGGTTTACAAGAATACCCATATAAAAGTAGCTCCTATTTACCGAAATTATTCCGACGTCCCGGTAATGGATGACGTTTATACCGAAATTAGAAAAAAATATACTAGAGGTACAGTGCTATTTGCATCGATCCCAGAGGCCCTTTCGTCGAGGCTGGTAGAGTATAAATCGAAACTCTTTAAAGAAAGAGGGAATGTGTCTGGTGTGGAGCACTTCACAAAAAACCATTTTGAGAATAAAAAAGATGTTAAAGATAAAGCGGTTGAGTCTAACGTGATATCGACAAAAGACCGAAATACAAAGTTTGTGCCTTTTGATCTAAAATCAGCTGTTCCTCTAGTGACAACTTATCTTCCAAACACAGTTTACTATACAACGCAAATAAAATACCGTAGTAACGATAAAATAATTGAAACATTACTTAGTATGCTGAAATAGCCTAAGAAATATACATTGTGTAAATTATTTCAAAAATAAATAAATACTATCCCTGAATTCTATTTTTTTACCGTTAACTAAACGACGATATTTTCACACTTAATTAAAGTTTTGGACAAAGGGTTTTTGCAGAATTGACCTTTTTTGAATATTAATACGCATTTAGTAAAAAGGGGGTTATTTCAATATTACAAACAGACACTTAATTTTTATTTATCTGGAAAGATTCCAAAAATCTGTCAGAAAACACAGTCTATGATTCCAACTAGGAAATAACACAAACACTTCGTTCGTAACCACCTTGTATAATACACATGGTAAAGAAATATATGGACTGAAGTATAGGGTGAAAGTAACCTTGACCTGGATTGGGATCACTTGTGAGATCTGTTATAAGATGCTGTCCGCAAATAATAATTTCGCCGACGGTATAAAACCGTCGCGGTGACGGCGGAAACCCATCGAAGATCGTTTTTCTGACTCCACCAACGTACACACAACGAAGGGAATGGGTAACGATCAGTGGAGAGTTTAGGGTTACCTTGGAGGCTCTTAAATATATGATTGAGGTTTCTAAGTTGGATCAAACTTTTCTAAATATTGAGTATTTTATAATTGGAAAGCAATTAATTTTCCTAGGGCGGCTATACATTTCTTTTGTAGTCCTAATTTCCCCTTACTTGCAAAATCATCCTTACTAATATTATAAACCGGAAAGTGAGTTTGTTTGTTTGTTTCTACGAAACCGATTGTTTTGAATTTTTGCAGACGTTAAGTTAGAAGTCTGGATATTATTTATAGTAGGGTACTTTTTATCCCGGAAAAATTTGATATTCTCGAGGGAAAACGAAATTATTGGTATGGATACTTTTTATCCTTTTGTGACGCGAGCGAAGCCGTGGGTAATATTTATTTAATAAATAATCATTTCTTTTATATCATACATACCTACCTTCCATGTTACCAATACAGCAGCTGTGATTTTCGGATTAATATACCTAAGAATAACATAGTACTCAGACATAAAAATATTTATTAAATAAAAAATACTTGAAGACGATTTCGCTGCAGCTGAATAAACGCGTGTGCCCTGTCCCAGTACAAGAAGGAAACTGACTGGTGCGGGAGGAGGAAAGGGGGTATTTTGTCGGGTGTGGGTAGTATGGTATCTATATATGTATCCACTCTGTCTGCACCATGTCTGCGACTTACTATCGTCTGTTTATTTAAGGTGTAAGACGTTTCATAATTTCTATTTCTTGTTTTAAGTTAAAGGACAAGTTTATAGCTAATAAAATTCTAGTTCTTCTTCCTTGTTAACCGTTTGCAAAATGGAAAATGATATTAATAATAATTAAATCGATCTTCCAACTAGCCATATCTTTTAAAGCGTCAAAGTAAGATAATACTCAAAAACTATTTTTTACTATCAGTTTAATGATTACGTATAATGTAATGTTATGTACTGAGGTCCCTTTGACTTTATAATAGTTTTAGTATAATATAGAAAAGCGATAAGAAAAGACCTAATTTTGGATAGGGACAAAGTTTAAACGGTTTTTAGCGATAACTTACAATGTCTACAAACGTGGATTCGGTAGCAAGAGATGTAGGCTACTGACGGGATTTCACGTCACCCCTCCCCGGTACTCCAGCGGTAGGTGGGGGGACGGGATCAAATGGCGGTTAAAGTGTGTTAGTAGCTGTCTCGTCATAACAAAGGTGGTTTCATTCATGATATTCCCCCCTTGGCTGTACTTGCCGATTTAATCTTCGAGTTAGACGCTTGCTAATTGAATGTTGTCTATTAGAATATCTTTAAGTAAGTACCTACCATCATTTTGATTGAAAGAAAAGTTTAGTTTTAGTACATTGAAGAAGTTATTGTTATTATGACTCACAACATAATTTTTTTTAATGGGGGAAATCATCGAATGACTGCGCTCCCGTCTGGGTGAGGCAGAAGGGAGTGTCAGACTCTTACTGACTAAAAACCCCGTTTCTACTCACAGCATAATAGTGCTCCTTTTTACCATTATCGGTAAATAAACATTTTTAAAGCAATGACTATATTACCAATTTTATTTGACCATCCATAAAGAGGTAACTAGAAGCATTCTACAATCTAGATTACTCTAGAGTGAATCACTATGGGGTTTGTCGACAAATGATTATAAATAAGGAAAACAAATGAAAGACAGATTCATGACATTTTATTTTTTATTGTTAGTCGAATTTGTTCACTTAGATGAATTACAATATGGGTAGATCGATCATTTAAAATAGTTTATACATGTAAAGATTATAATATCAGTACGTTGTAATTATATATAATATGTCGTATTTCTTAGATAAGCTAATAACAAACACATTTAATGCATAAATATAATTTTGTAATTAAAATATATAACAATATTCAAAAATCACTGACGATAATTAAGTTAAATGCCATCGTAGTCGATTTAATTAAAATTATATTTTATATTCACATAATTATTATAATATATAAGTAGGTACTTAACAATAGTATATTCGTTGCTTAAAAAGCGAAAAGTTTACTTAATATTTTAAGAAAAAATAAAAAAAGAAAAACTTTTTGGCAGTGTCGAAATTAACACAAAATGATATATTAATAATCACGTTTGGCACAATTACAAGATTTCACTGGGTGCGAAAAATAAACAGAAGCGTTGGATGTTTTAGAGAGATTTTTTCAAAATTACTCACGAATTATAAGCGGGTACGAGAAGTGGACACTTAAAAGTTATTAGTAAATACATAAATTCCTAACTACAATATTAAAAAATTCATCTTATGGCACCAAACACATTGTTGCTCGCCAGAGCACCGCTGCGGTAACGCGAACAAACCCTTCGCAGACATCGTACGACAATCCAACGTTCGCGTTTACCTATCTCCCTAAGCTATCCGTATTGTCTGGTTCTCGAATTTCCTTAGTACTAATACAACATTTATTGTTTATATTTATTGAAAACAACTAGTAGTAATCTTGTTTCAAAATGGTCTCTTCACATCGTACCAATTGAAAGTTAAAGATTATACTGTTTAATGAGAAAATTTATATTATATATTACATAGTATTGTGCTATTGTAGAGGATTGATTATGTTATCGATTGTCGTTCGTGAGGTTACTTTAAATATATCTGTTTGACCTGCGAACAAAGAATATGTGTTAGATAATATACACACAACATACACACAATTATAACAAAGGCAACAAAAAATCTACATACGGAATTAAAGAATATCGAAATTAAAATACTTAATAATGCTCGACAAAGTTTCGAATGAGTTTTCTATTCTACTACAAAATAAACTCAATACAGAAAAATATCTCATAATTAATTAATCTACATACAATACTAGGTTGCACTGTGGCCAGTCCATCAACCTTACTCCAATGTGTCAATTCCGTCATTGGATTTTAGACTTTATCTCAGACTAACAATACAGTTAAAAATGTAATTAACAAATTTGTACCTTACAGTATAACAAAAAATTAACACAAAATATAAGTAATAATATAGTATAATTAGCTTTTGTTAGGATATAGCGCAAATTTTTTTAAAGCGTCAAATAAACAATAAAGACTACATTTGGATACTAAGGCGAGGCGCAAACGTGGACACTAGGTCTGGTGTTAGTCACAAGTTACCAATGAATATATGGTTTCAATACTATAAGTATGAAATTATATATGTGTAAAGTTCCTTCCACCTTAACACTTAGTCATTGTCAATTAAACTGTCAAATACCAAGCGGTCACCGGTGACCGCAACCTATTGTTCTATAATTGTGTCTACAAAACCAGTACTCGACGAGTTAAAGAGTGTTCGGTATCGATAATTGGAAAATAGTGTCTACATTAGCGCAGCAGCTTGAGTAACCAGGAAACACCAACTCACCAGTCAGTCCGATTAATTGTTATTCATAGCAAATAGTATCTGGGATAAAATTATACATAGGAAGGAGGGTAAAATAGACCATAAACTAAGGGTTTTCTTAGAATTCATGTTATAAGGGTGATCTGGAGGAGACTCATCCACATCGAACTCCTCAAAGTAGGGAAACAGGTCAGTGTATAATTTGCTATTGTTTTTCCAGAGAAGCATGAAAAGTCAATAATGGTAATACCAAGATTAGTATGGTTAGTACATTGAAATTGACAAAATTACACGATAACCAGTAAGGGTTGGCTGAGCATAAGGGTCGATTTTGCATATTTTTGTAATTCATATTGTCATGAAACTTGTTATAAATGTAATTTGGTCCCAAATACTGAAAGGGTACTCAAATTTGAGTTGTATTTAAATATTTAATTTTACAAAGACATTAGTTGTCTAGATTTATTGTAAAGTCACCTTGAAATATTTATGCAAAAATGCCCCCTGTTGCTACAGCGTAACGAATGTGCTTAAGATAATTTATGGCTTGTGATATTAATGATGATGATAGTGGTTCTAAAATAGGTGATGCATTTGGAAAAATAATACTAATTAATAATTCGCCAAGTTTTATTATATTAAGTTATTGTTATTGGCCGAGTGGTTGCAAGTGCGGCAAGGGGTCTCGGGTTCGATACCCGGGTCGGGCAAAGTACTACTGGGTTTTTAAAAAATTTTAGTAATAGTAGAGTAGAGTCTGGAAATGTGCCCGGTATATGGCAATAGGCTCACCCCCTATTACATGGGAATCATAACATAAATAGTGAAAAGTGGGTGTTACATTGTACACTGGCATTAAGTGCCAAAATGTGCACCTCTGCCTACCCCTTCGGGGATAAAAAGGCGTGATGTTATGTATGTATGTTATTGTATTATTCCATGGCTTCCGGCCAAAAGGTATGCGATATTCTTTTGCAAAATCGACTATATATAAATGGTTAGAATCGACTTTTTTCTGCGTCTAACCATACATATATACCTATACGATTTCGCAAACAATGTTGCTTACCCCCCTTTAGTCGGAAGGCATCGCATTCCGTTTTCAAAACGTTTGTCAACATAATACGACGACAAGTCTACAAAAAGTATTTAATACCTCGATAATTAAAAAAGGTATAAGTGGTATTTTACACCTCGCTTAGTAAAAATTTACGATATAATAAAATCATTTCCTTATTTACGTATTTTATACACAACCGAAGAAACAGGAAATTGCATTCTACAACATATAAAACTGTTCGATAATTGTACATAAATGAGTTTTATTTTACTACCTAACCAGGGCCCAGAGAGAAAACCACCTACTTCTTCCCCCGACGTGTAAAACCTTCTCCCTTGCCCAACATCTTACCGGCGAAATACCTAAAGATAGTATAGGGATCAGAGGGGTCCTACCACAACAATCCTTGATGATTACGATATGGTCACTGGTCATCTTTAAAAGAAGTTACACAAGCTAATTTCAAGAACGAAGGCATGCTTTTTGAGCACTTCTCACTTAGTAACACATAACATGTTGTGAGATTGTTGCTCAAAGGCATGCTCATTTAGGGCATGCTTGCAAATCGACAAGCGTTCGATTTTTGAATATTTTTTAAGCATGCTCAATGGAACACCTCTTGGCATATTTTTGAGCATGTGTATCTTTAGTGCAGACAAATAATATGACATAGGCAGAGGTGTAAATTACGGGGCTTAATGCCACTGTGCAATGTAACACCCACTATTCACAATTTATGTTTTGAGTCCCATCTAATAGAGGGTACGCCTATTGCCATATAACAGCACTATTCCAGACTCCGTGCTACCACTGACAATTTTTTTTAAAAACCCTGTCGTATTTTGCCCGACCCGGGAATCGAACTCGAGATTCGGTAGTTGCAGTTGCGACCACTCAGCCAGCGAGGCAGTCAGTACAGATAAATAAAGACAGACATATCCCTAATGGCAGTATGAGAGGTTTATAATAATCCTTTGGGGTACAAACTTTAAACTATGGAGACTTTGTAACTTATAACAGTCTGGTAAAGGCGAGGTTTTAGGTTTTAGTCGTTCGACAGATTCTAGTACTGATGTCGGTGAAGTTAGAAAACCGCAACCTAAGCTTACAGCTTCCCAATTTCATATGAATCGTTATAAACGAGTTGTTAAGGGAGTTAGTAATCTTTTACTATAATGATGTGAAAATATTATTTTTGTTCACACAATGTGATGGCGATTTTAGTATAATAATTGTCACGAGACATAATAATTATGGCAAATTCACGTAATAGTATAGCGAGGCGTATGTCGCACAGTGTTGTTCATCAGTATGAGCTCCTGTCGCGACTCGAAATTACTCGGATTATCTTGTTAAAGAGTTATTTATGATAATATTTTTGATGTTGATGATGACGTTAAGTATCAATGAACGAAACTAATTATTATACTTACTCCTTGCATCGCTGCGTATTCCTTCCAGTGACAGCAACTTGTCCAAGGTTCAAGCCTCGGTCCGAGTTCATCAGCTCGATTTGGTGGATGCAACCAGTGAAGCCAGGGTATCCCTGCTGGTTGATGCTGTCAGGTATACCACCTAAGAAGAAAGAGATAATATTAAGACGTTGTCACTTATGGATTATTCGAACACTTACATAAGCTAAATTAGTCTTGTTTAGAGTTGCTTCGTGATTAGAGTTTTCTTCCGTATAATAGATGTGTTTGCAAAAATTTTCATCTAGGTATTATATCCAAACCAAAAGAACTACAGATCAAATAGACCAAGAACCCAAGTCGTTATTTCTGAAAAACAAAGAAAATATAAACCTACTTTATTTAAGTTCCTTTAAGTATAATTTTCCACCGTAACTTACCAAGGTAAATATTTGAGTCAGCGTTCATGAGGTTGGAGATGCCAGAACTGTATCCAGAGTTTTCGCTACCGTCGACTGATAGGATCACCTGGCCATCCTCCAACATTTTGACGATAACCTGTTAACAAAATACAAATTATTAGAAGCAGGGATTACAAATAAATAAGGTTTAAAACAAGACACTTATATTTCACCAACCAAAGAGTTTGTATGAGAATTGTCACATCTGTCTAGCTTATGAGTTTTGCAGTCAATTAAAAGACATTCGGACTTGAGATTAATTGTCATAGTTATTAGAGTAGAAAGACGTTAAAACCAGCACAAGTAGATATATAGTTTACATAGAAAGTTCTGTTTCTCAACTTGTTTAAGTTGAGAAAAGTAAGTACCTGTATCTACCAAGTACCTACAACATTTTTGATTTGATTTGATTCATTCGATTGAGAGCATAGTGCTGTGTGAACTTAGTTATATATTGTCATTTGGAGTGTATGTAAATGGATTGTTCATCATCACTTTAAATATTTGTTTAGTAAAGGTTTTTCAATTTGATGCTTAAAACTCAATTGTCTATGACTGCAAAATAGCTGGTGTGTAATCTAATGATGCAATAACAAAATAGGGGACTAGTTCCAAAAATAATATATGTTGTTAAAAAACGCATTCAATCTTAATATTACCTCGTCATTAGGAGATCTGAACAAAATTGTCTAATTATCCTAAACTAGATATGTTTATTACCCAAATCTATCATAACATTTCTAAGTTTCATGCTAATACAACAAATATAAGTTAACGTTAAAAAAATGTACTTCAGATTCTTAGATTTTGTTTTATAATTCGTAAAGGTCGACCTAATGAGAGCGCGTTAAAAGAATAGGTGCACGAGTTTAAGCGGAAGAAATAATTTTATATAATACACATATGTATACAGCCAAAATGTATAGAAGAAGGGTTCGTCATACTGTTGTTGTATTTATAGAAATGAGTACAATGCAACTGAAAACCCAATTAACATCATTTTGCTTTCACTGATCACGTGTCTACGTCACGTTGCAGAACGTTGTGACGATAGATAACATATTTATAGCTGTTTAAAAGGTTATAAAAGCTTTATTTGACTGTATGTATGTGTACTTATACCTCTAATGATAAGAAGTATTATACAATTATTTAATTGAATTACTTATCCCTAGGTCTGTTTTTGAAGACGTCTTGTATACAATCAATTTGTAGTCGCGATTATATAATAAGGGAATGCGCTTTTGATCCCATTTTTAATGATTATGTAACTTTTCTAATAAATAAATAATCAGAATATTTTATGTACTTGTCATTTAAAACATCTTGTAGGTATCCACTTATTTTATTTTTTCCTATAATCGTTATGGGTTAGAACAAAATTTTTTATGTCAAAAGAATTCACCTGGTGTCGAACTCCGTCATTGACGAAGGCGTTCACTGCGAGCTCAGACTTGCCACCACCGTTGTCCCATTCGAATTTGACAATGCCATTCTCAACTGTAAAAACACACAAGTATCAATCATTTTGCACTTTTTTAATTCAGATCAAATTCATAATTGTGTTTGGAATAATATAAAAATTTCGTATACATTATGTTTTTTTAATATGGTGGTTTATTTCAATAAGTTCAGCTACCATACAGGTGAATGATACATACTAATAAGTAAACATAGACAAGAGCAACATAAGTATATATTGGAATGTGACAACGCCCCACCATTTTTTTAATGAGGGCCAATCCCATCATCGCACGAGTTGTAAAAAAAGTGTGCACAAATGCGGTAGCGATAATATAAAATACTTACTTCTCAGTAGAATGTAGTCACCGTAGTATGGTGGGCTTTGGGCTTCCTTCTGGTACACCAACACACCATCCTGGCTGGTGAAGATGGCGAGGGCAATGATAACAGGGTCTACGTCTAAGTTTTCGTATCTTATGAGATTTGCGGGAAGTTCTAGGTAACCGTTGCCGTTGAAACCGACGCTGTGGTGTAATTCAAGAGCTAGAAAAAAATGGAGAATAAATAAATCTGTTCCTTAGAACAAATAACGAAATATAAACTTGGAAAGAAAACCAACCAATTTGGCAGTAAGTGCCGGCGTATCCGAGAGGACAGTCACAGGTGTGGTTCATTCTGGAGCTGAGGTCAGGTCGGCAGGTTCCTCCGTTGCGGCAAGGTCGCATCGCGCAAGGATCGCTAGGCGGCTGGCGAGAGGACCTCATGGAGGAGGGTACGCGATTCTCGCAGAGAGAACCTCCAAAACCGGCGGGGCAGGCGCAAGTTGAGGAGTCAGTTGTGCAGGATCCACCGTTGTGGCATTGGCAGCCGATCTCAGTCTGAAACAGTGACAATTATGTAGTTATCCTTATATAATTTAGCGTAAAATAGGATTTAGATGATGTTGTTTACACAGATGAGGTTTTTTTTAATAAGATCTAAGCAAAATTTATTTGACCGTGACGGTAACCACGATGCTAGTTTATATACCATAGAGACTCCTTTTTGTAGACTTCAGAAATGGCTGCTGAAAGTACCATTTTTGTCTGGTAACATCTTAATAACATAACATCATAACCTTTTATCCCCGAAAGGGCAGGAAGAGGTGCACATTACGGTACTTAATGCGACTGTACAATGTAACACCCACTTTTCACTTTTTATGTTTTAAGTCCCATGTAATAGGGGGTGAGCATGCATATGGCAATAGGCCATATACTGGACAATTCCAGACTCCGTGCTACTACTGGGATTTTTTTTAAAACCCAGGAATACTTTGCCCGACTGGACAATCAAACCCGAGATCCTGTCAGTCGCACTTGCGACCACTCGGCCAATGAGGTAGTCCATCTTAGTGTTACCAAATATAAATAAAATGTCCCAATGCCTGGGAAATAGAACGAATACTTACATCAGGGATGTCACCACGAACGTACGCATTGCATTCTTTCACGTTCGCTGATTGAATAGTTGAGTTAACGATGTCCACAGCTTCACCATGCAACTTGAACTGTGAATTAACATCAAACTAAATATCACGTTATACGAAAATATGTACAAACAAAACGCAAAAGTTTGGAAGAAAAATGCCTTTTATTCCTTGAAGAGTTAAGCAGAAGTGCACCTTGGACTTGATAAGCACTGTTTACTAGGTTTGTTAACATTTGGGTGTCTACATTCTGAGAGCATGTTGTATAGAATCCATGGGAGACTGTCATATCTAGTTTAATTTTAGAACATTGTGCCTATTTACAAAAATAACAATTAATAAAAAAGGATAAATGATATCCTATGTCCAAGAGAAGGCAAGTCAATCACGTGTTAAAACTTACGTCAGCGATACATCCGTTGAACCCTCCAGTAACTCCGGTGTTGTTGTTCAGGGTGATTGAGTCGTCCACACCACCCACGAAGATCGGAGTATCCAAGTTAAGATCCTAAAACAAATTCATAAAGTGTATAAAATAAGCAAATCATAAACCTTACACAGAAGATTCCTACCCAGTTTTTTTTTGGCAATGATATACGTGTTTCTCTTTCATAATAATACTTAGAGGTATATGGTAAAGAACTCCGAACTCAATCTGGTATGGAATAAGATTTAAATAAGCACTTACCCGTTTCGGTGATTCGAGTTGCTGCTCGAAGCTATGTACAGAGTTAATGCGCAGAGAGACTACAGAGCCTACACGAGCAATGTGAACGGTTGTCCATTCGTTAGCTGAGAGGGTCCTGTTGCTGACCAGGACAACTGGTACGCTTCCTGAAAGCGAAAATGTACGAGTTTTATATTTATTGATAACAAACATGTTGATTACTTCAAAAACGTTCCGTGCTACTAAACTTTGACTGTTGCAATGGCTGGAATCCAAAGTCTGCGGTAAAAATGGACCAGAACACTGATAAGACTTTCAAACTATGTGATCAGATATTTTCGATTATGAACTATTAGAAGGTTTACCTTCCATTATTTTTAATTATTTGCATCAATACAGCCAAAATATTTTTTGGAATATCTCACCTCCTCCAAGATCGTAGCGGAATTCAAGCCTGGCGTCGTGGACAGCCAGAGACGTGAATCCTCCGTATCCGCGAGGTGACTCAGCACAATACATGATGATTCCATCAGTGACGGGAGATGCTGCCTTGATCCTCATTGACATCCTCAATGTTCGGGAGGGTGCTGGTGGCTTGATCGCCAAATATGCGCTACCAGTGAAGGCTGGGTACTCAATCGATTGTTTTTCCTCGCAGCTGCAAAATTACATGTGTGTTAGTAATTCAGTTCGATAGACTCGAAGATGTGTTGCTGAACTTTTCTTGAGTGTGACTAACTAACTAGATAAATTTAATTGAAAAATATATAAAGACAATTTTATGGTGATTACGTTACAGTCACCTGTTACTCGAGGCTACTTACTTTCTGCCAGTGTGTGTGACGGGGCAAGCACACTTGTATCCGTCAACGGTGTCGGTACACTTGCCAGGCCCACATAGTCCTGGACGGCAAGCATCACCTGTCCTATCGCAGTTTACTCCAGCATACCCTGACGCGCAAATGCAACTATAACCACGTTCGTTACGGGCCTCCTGTGAACAAACGGTTAAGGTAATGGAGATATATTTGAGATTCTCAAAATTTAAACGTGCATTCTGAAATACACTTTATGACAAGCATAAACAAGGAACTATTTTAAAAACGCAGCTGTAATAGAAAATTATACGAACCTGGCATACTCCTCCGTTCAAGCAAAGGTTGGGAGAACAGGAGTCACATTCGCTTACGCGGCTGCGTTCCAGACTGTCCATCATGATGTCTTTTTCTTCTCTGCCCAAAATGAGCATGCTAGCGCAACCGATGAAACTGCAAGAAGGAAAGTAGGATGTTGTTATAAAAGTTCAGAATGTTATTTCAACATTTTTAGAGATGTGAATAGTATTTACCCAGATGTTCCAGCTAGCTCAATAGGCAGTTGGTCGTAGTCAGGCACTCCTCCGATGTACAGAGGCTGCTTCAGTTCAAGCACCACCCACTGCTCAGGAGATTCCGCAATGAATGGTCCGGTGTTATCGACGTCCATTGTTACTAAAAGCAAAAACATTAAAGTTGTATTATCTCCCCAAAGTCGCCACAAATTATTTCATCCAAGAGTTAATAAAACATTGAAGTAAGTAATAAATTTTGCGTACCCTTAGATTTGGTTCTGGACACCCTTATTGTGTGCCAAGCATTCAATTGCAGAGGGCGATCTCCCTTTACAATCAGAGGTTCAGTGCCGGTGTCCATGATGAACTCAGGTATACCGTCCCTAAGGTGCAGAGCAATGTAGTCACCCGCGCGTCCTTGGTTCTCACTGTTGTAGAGGATCAGTCCATTGTTGTCTGTAATAAAAAATAAGGAGTTGAGCTAGTACTGAACAACTAATAATTAAACTATGGATACTTATAAGTGATAAGTTATTTTATTTACCGGCGGGTTTGAACGATATTTCGATGTCGAACTGTTGGTAAGGATCCCTCAAAGTTGGAAGTGAGACGAAGCTATCTCCATTGAAACGTGGAACTACTCCAGTGACAGTCAAGATAGCGCGAGCTTCGACAGTGGCGCGGCTGTTGCTGACGCGGCACACGTAGGTACCAGCGTCCGCCTCAGTCACAGAGTTCAGGTAGAGGTTGGGCTGGAAGTAAAATTTATAATATAATAGAGAATACAAGAAATACTGTAGGAAATATGATTGAATTTTCACTATCTTTCCCAGTTTAGACGATATTATCAATAAAACCTTTTATGAACTCAAAAAAGTACATGCCTGCTATAAAATTGAATGGATACCTGGTCAGCGCGGATTTCGGCAGGCAGAGCGGAGAATTCGCGTCTCCACTCGATAGTTACAGGGTGTTCCAAGTTGTGAATGCACGGTAGGTCAACTGAGTCACGCAGGTGAGCGGTGTATTGGGCAACTGATACGTCCCTGTTGTCTGGGTAGAATGGTCCGCCTAGTAGTGGAACAAAAATCGTGAATTAATTTAATGAAGCGTAAGTTTTGATAGATTGCAGTTGAAAGTTTCTACTTTTGTAATTGGTAGGTCCAGTGTCCAGAAAATCGGTTGATGGCCAATGCTTCGTACTTGTGATTCCCATGTTGTGAACCACAAATTGTGATATGATGTGTAAGGGAAGTCGTATGTTAGTGAATGCGCCTACGACGCAGTAGAAACTCCTAGTGCAGGCTTTTTACGAGTGCTAATGAATTTTACGAGTTACCAAAATTGTTTATCATTGTTTCTTACTTGATTCAACTTCAAGGTTGAAGTCATCATAGAATGTTCGGCCACGATCGTCACTGCCAATGCAGCGGTAAACGCCAGCGTCACTGTTGGTTACTCCGGTCAGAGACAGCCTTACTCCATCGCCATATGTCTGTAAAAGTATCATACTAATATTAGTAAACATATTGGTTTATAGCATAAGATAAAGGCGACCTAGTCTCAAATTTTAGAGCAGTTATCCATTTTACACTGAGTAATGAATAGGCCTATACTCAGCAATGGTTTTAACCTGATGATGAATGAACAGATATTATAAACTTCACATTAATTCAGTCTGAACGTGTACTTACCAAGGAGGCTACGTATTGGTTGGTTCCGACGCGCAGCCACTGCAGCCTGATGTTACCAGACCTCGCCTTGCACAGCACGTCTACATTATCTCCAACTCTAAATTGCCTTCGTGGTTGATCAATTGATACTAATCGTTGTGATTCAGAGGTCGGTTCTCGAGGTCCTAAAACATTACATACCAATAAGTCTAACTTAAACACGCGTAGATGGTAGTCACCATGTAAGCATTCCCCACCCAGGGTATAAAATATATCTACTTACAAAAACATACCATCTGGATATAAACAGAAATACATAGTTTCATTATTAAATAGAAATACCAAAACCAACTTAACATGCAAACCCCACGCATGTCGTTATGAGCCAGTATTTTTTTACTTATCGAATAAATATGTGAGATAATACAATAAGCGAATACAAACTTGTTAGTCACAGTATAATATAAATGTATACGAAACGCGAACACCAACTATAGGAAAAATATATGTAATATAATAATAATTTCAGAATAATATTATTACATGTACACGCCATAAATCTTCACGGTCGGCTTGACTACCTAAGACACGTGGGGGCGGACACTGATAATTATTATTACAGTTAAATGACTACCGGTAACTAACGAAGATCTAGTGCACCTTCAAGATGTAGAGAGAAATAAGGTAAAGGGCCGCTTCCCGGCGGCGGTCGTCGGGGCTTTGCCATGCGGGTCTTTTACCCAATGCGTTGCCGGTACCTTCACACTTCAAACCATGACAAGTTTAGATGATAATTCAGAACAAGAAAGTCGTCAACAGAAGAACAAAGAGAACTCATGTTTTGTTATTTTAAATCGAAAGCAGGAGGACCAGGATAACTCAAACGTCTATACAATACATTTAAACAAAGAAATCGAACCAATCTTAAAGCTCATAAACTAGATGGTAATGAACTTTCGAATCAAGCCCGATTAATGATTAATGGCAAAGCCATATCTAAGGAATACAAGTTTTAGTTAAAAATAAAACCTGTTAAACAGTGGCCATACAGTTAACTTAATTTCCGAACACTAAACAACACCAACATCCAATAATTCTGGATCACAGACACCGATATCAACCACACAATTACCAACACCAAACACAAACTCACCCACACTAGTTCAACTGAGCAATATACGAGGAAATTAATAGACACAGGAAGACAGTAGAAGAAAGTGGACTATGGAAGAACAGCGTGAATGATATTATTGAAAGATTGTATGATTTGTTACACTCACGAAATCCTGATAATCCAAAAATATATAGATTCGACAGAAATAAACTTTCAAACCAAGCTCGTACAATACTCAATCGTAGACTTGTATCAGACGAAGTTTCAGCCCAAATTAAACTCAAAGCGTAAGACTTATAGATTACCAAACAGACCAATCAGGCTTCTCATTTATAAAAACCCAAATAGACTACAGGATAAAAACAATAACTATCCATGATATAAATAAGGATAAATATCCGATAGATAAGGAAGCGAAAGAAAATAGAATAGAACTTAAAATAAACAATTATACAACAAGCACAGATATCGCAATAAAATCTGCTAAATTAAAATACATAATAGGAAAATGGAAAGCTAAACCTCTACGTGGATAGTTTTACAGATCAGTAATAGATAAAGAAAATATAGATACAAAGTACTCGTTCAGACGCCTCAAAAAGCAGGCAATATCTCCCTTACTAGAAGTATCCATATTCTCACTACAAGATCAAGCCATTATCACAAAGCAACACAATAGAGTTGTGCTCAAGAGAGCGGTAGATGGAAAGTGCCGGCTATGTGGTGTTAAAGATCAAACTGCATAACATGTTGTGACTATTACACCAAGAGACACAACAATGTGGTTCAGTACGTGTAGGTACTGGACCCTCCTCAAAAAACACAATATGGAAACAGATAAATGAAAAAAAAGCAAATATGCTTACGGTGGAAGGAACAGCTCACTCAACCTCAAATTAAAGAAAAAGATACAGCCGAAATAATATGTGAATTTCCAGTTCAGACAGATGTCACAGTTACACACAATAAACTAGATATTATTAATATAAAATAATAAAAGTGATAATATAACATATTTAATAGACATAACAGTACAATTCGATTATAACATAGAAGCCAAAGGAATAGAAAAATTGAGTAAATATCAACTAATACATAAGGAAATAACCCGCTTATGTCAAACGCACACTCAAGTCATACCCTAGTCATAGGAGCATCTGAAATGGTAGCTAAAAGTCCAGAAATATAACGCACAGTTAGCCTTCAACATTAACATCCACATCATGCAAAAACAGGCACCATCCTGAGTAAAGTTATGGAGGATACTATTTAGTAGACAGGGAACGCGATCCTCCTCTTCCTTGAGGGTCTCAGGGCGGGAGGCTTGAGAAATACCGACTCTCACGAGTCGAGATGTAAGGCACTACACACACCTTTATATGTTTGTCTATGTTCGTTCCAAGACATATTCAAAACTACAATACAAAGGGAAATATAAAAATGGACTACCACTGACACTCCCATGACAGTACATAGCAGGCGGAACAGCACAACACGGCGTTCCAGACAGACCACTGTTCAACACAACCGCATACCGCATTAGATTTACCATCGTGTGAGAGGTACTTGGTCCGTGTTCCCTCCAAGTAACGTCTATCTCGCCACAAGCAGTTTTCCTCGTCGCTATTGTCTTGACAATGGCTGTATCCATCGCATAGTAAGTTTTCGTCTATACAAGCACTGTTGTCGTTACAAGGATATTCTGTATCCAAGCACTTAAAACCTTGCGAGCGAAAAATTACAGTTTTATTACAACTTATAAAAAAATTATAATAAAATAATGAATAAAAAAGACAAAACGGAAATACAGAAAAGTTAGGAAAAAGGCTAAGATGCTACGCATGCCTGGTTAAACGACTGGGCGAAGCAGAGACATTCCAGCGCCACCACTGGGATTAAGCTGACTAAGCGACCTGTCTGTGAAACTGACCCTGGATGTGCAGGTTGATGTAATTGCTAGTTATTACTCTTCTATATAGATCTTGAATACTGCAAACGTATTTGCCAGAGTCGGACTTTTGCGCGCGACGAATGTAGAGCGTCCCGTTTTGCTTCTGTCTCACTGATCGGGGGAGCGCACTTCCATCCTTGGACCACACGATGCGGACGTTCGGTTGGGACACGTTGCAGCTGAGGTGCACAGCGGCGCCGACGTGTGCCCTCTGCTCATTGTCGTGCGACACGGACGCCGTATGATCCGAATCTTCTATGGATGTTAATGTCATGCAGTCAACTGAACCCTCAAGCGTTACCAACCGCGTGAACTTAGCTACAAAGTCTTGGGGTCTCTTTAAATTGAGCATAAGTTTTACAATATTTACGATGTTTACTAAATTAGGGCTAATGTACACGCAATTGATAATGTATAATTAAAATGTAAAGCATTCAATCAATGGTGGTTCCATTAGGTGTGATGTTGGTGACCAGCGTTCACACAGCACAACTGAACGGCAAATAAAATAACAGGTGCCTTAACATTATGTGCAACCTGTACATTCTACACTTGTATGTTGTGACTTTGTGATCCTCGAAATTGATAGAAGATATCCATAATGTTATGGGAACTATACCACAGTCTAACAAGTACGAGCTGAAACTGTACACATTATATTTTTGCATATTAATATTTTTTTTAGTTCAAACTAATAATTATAATAAATAAATTTTCAATTTCAACGTTTTTAGTAGACTGTGATATTAGATAAGTGATTTATGTAAGTAAATCTATTAAACTTTATGAAGAGAATGCATTCGCTGCTAGTTTTGGATGCTTTTATGTTTTTAATGTATGTTATCATCGATTGTCTTATTTCTATCAATTTCGATGGTAATCTACCGTACAGTTTTGTGCTGTTGGTGACCATGCTATAATATATTGGAGAAAGTTCGTAACATACCGCTTACAACGACCTCGGCGATGGCGCTTGCGTTAGCGTATCTGCTTCGAGCGAAGCATTCGTATCGGCCGGCGTCTTCAACCTCGATCTGGTTGAAGATAAGTCTAGAGGACCGAGTATCCACACGGCTGAAAATAAAATGGAATGTGAATCATACAATCCGAGTTACATAATATTACGAAATTTAAAGACTGTCAATTCTTTGGATGCTTACTTTGAAGGTTGCCTGTTGTGAGGTATCCATGTAATATCAATAATATCGTCACCTTCAACGATACATTCAACAATTGGTGATTGCCCAGGGTGCACGGTCTGTATTGGTGGGCGCAGAGTAATCTTTGGTGCAGTGACTACAACTAGACTAGTGTAGATTGATTGCTGCACTTCGCCAAATTGGTTGTAAATGTTGCAGACGTACTCTCCAGAGTCGCTCTTCGAGACCTGAAGTCAAGTTAATTGTATTACCTATGTTATTTAGTTTTTAATTTATAAAATTACATTGTTTTTAATCATATTATAAAGTGTTTACTTTGAAAATTGATATAGGGTCATTCGATTTCACTTACATTGTAGATAATAAGTCTTGATCGGTCAGGAGTTGCGTTTGGTTGAAGAGGCTGTCTATCAGCACGATCCCACCTCACATTGTCGCCAGGTTGACGGCAACTGTAACCATAATTTACACCATAAAATACCAATTTTATCAAATAAAAACAACTTGTACTTAGTGCCAAAATTCTGTACTCACTTTTGATTAGGTCACAGTTGATCAATAACTCAACTTTTGATATAAAATGTATTATTTTGTGATAGTTTGACTAGAATTGTCAAAAAATATTTGATCACTTAAGCCAATATCGTCGGAATTGAAGTGTATTTTAATCCAATAACTATTAAAAATATATTGTAGGTTTTGGTACTAACGATAAGATAGTTTCTGGTTGTCCTTCAATGGTGATTAGGTTGCTTGGGACTTCGTCTGGTCTTGGAGGATATCTAGGTGCGTCAGGATCAATTTCGCCGTCTCCGCTTCCTATAAGCAGAATGGATGACAAAAGGTTAAATTGTTAGAACCTAGTCAACTCGATACCATGATATCTAGCTTAATTACAATTGATTTCTTATTTTATGTGTCTTCCCGGTTATTTTTAAAGTATTTGAAATGACCCAGTTAAAACTTTGTAACAAATCATTTTGCAAAATTCATCATAGTATTCACTGCGTCATTTGAAAATCGCTGTTTTCAGTTAAGTTTTATAGGAAAGCACTTACCATAGTCAAAACCTCCGTCGTCACCACCATCTCCTCTATCCACCACCACTCTGAACTGCTCTTTAGTAGTACCAGCAGCGTTGGTAGCTGTGCATGTGTAGAATCCGCTGTCTTCCTCTTTAGCTGACGCTATGCGCAACGAGGTGTGGCCAGAGGCGGCTGGAGCAACATCACGGTAATCGCCCACTGCGGGAGAAAAATACAGATGGTTTTAATATTTATGAACAGTATTTCTATTTCCTATTTCAGTAATCTTGGACTACACGGAAACAAAGGAATATATACAAAATTCATACTCTTCGAAACTTGAACCACGACGGTTTCTGTAATCTGACTTTGGTATCATTATATAATGCATATTATGACGCCAAAGTAAAATTGTGGAATCATGCCAATGCATCATGACTAAAGATAAGATGGTGCGAGGAAAGAAAGATGTATTTTTACTCACATTGGATGGAGACTACAGGTTCGGGGTATCCGTTAGCTCTGCACTCGATGTTGATGCTCTCGCCAGCGGAGACTTGCACGTAGGGGTTGGGGGCGATAGTGATCTCAGGGAGGGCCCTTACTTTGATAATAGCACTAGCGCTGGCAGTTCCAGCATCGTTACGTGCCGTGCACGTGTATTCGCCTTCATCGTTCACTTCGATTTTGGTAAACTTAAGTTCATGATGGGGACGGATTTCTGTAAATCTGGAAAGAGGACGTCCTCCATTTCTATTCCACGTGACATCTGGCTCAGGAATGCCTCCAAGAACTCGGCAGATCAATGTGTGTTCTCCTCCTAATTGCACTGCCTGGACCTTGTCTTCTGGTGGCCAAATCTCTACTCTAGGTGGTTCACGTCCTAAAAAAATAGTTTGTTTTAAAACCGACCAACACTATGCAGTTATTTGGAACACCTTGCACTTTGTAATAGATAGAATATAGAAATTAAAGATTTGTAATATACATTCGTATAAAGTTCTATTACTCAAATATTTTTGTCCTTACTTTCAATTTCAACGAAAACATATAAATTGGCTACCGCGTTGGGACCAACACTGGCCTCGCATAGATAGTATCCTTGGTCGCTCTCCTTTGCGTTATTTATGATCAACGTGTTACCGCGCTGACTGGCATCAGATCCGAGGGAGCCATCGTGCTGTGGAAAAATAACAAATAACGCCATATTATAATAGTTGTATTATAAATGAGACAGATCATCGTTTTTTTTAGTTCATTACTATGAAATGAAATATGTTACCTTCGTCCATTTAATAAGTGGGGTGGGGCGTCCAGAGACGTTGCAATCAACAGTTCCACTTCCACCAGTCGGGATCTTCAGACGGTCTACCGATGCTGAGATGTTGTAAGTTTCTGTCACTGGTTCTGCCTGTACAACAGTCACAAGTACTTGTACGGGTGATACGTTGGACAAAGTTGACTGGCAAATGTACACCCCTTGGTTGTCTGGCTGTGCGTAATCAATGTACAGAACACCATTTTCTGACCTCACGTTTGATAGGAACACCGCATTGTCTTTTCTGTGGGAAATATCAACATTTAACATTAATATAACACTTAAGGGATGAGCACAATTTTATAAGTTCGTGACTTCATTCTAAGTGGCTAGTTTCTTACCTGACCCAGTCGATAGATCCTGCTGGGATGTTTGTAGTGCCTGTGCAAGCAATCATTATGCTCTGGCCTTCATCGACAGTTGGAGTTGGAATGGAGACAGTAAGTTTGTCACTTGGCTGCCACGGTGGGCGAGGACGAATCGTGATTACTGCTGTGCGGTCAGCAGATCCAACAGTGTTGCTGGCAATGCATCTGTACAGAAAAACTTTTTTGAGAATACGTCCACAATTAAATAAATTATGATTTTATTGAGTTAGTAGGAAGGTACTGAAGAAGTTACCTGTATTCACCGGAATCTTCGACACGAGCACTTTCAATTTCAAATCGGGTGTCATAATACGTTGAAGACAATGGGAGGAGTTGGTTAGATCCTCTTTGCCACCTGATTGTAGGAGTGGGGTTGCCTCTGACGCGGCATTCCAACTGAACGAAGTCTCCTTCATAATAGTCGTTTACTGGCGGGTATATTTCGACGCTTGGCATAGTCATTTCGTTTCCTAAAAAGAAGTTCACGAATTGAGTAACGCGTACCTCCTTTGTTACCTATTTTTGTCACCATGAAAATCTACATAGCTAGAATAGTAACTAACTCACCTCGAGCATAAAATATCCAAAGAGGGACAACTATTCCAAAAATGACAGCATAGAGAGAATATTATAATGAGTACATAAGCCTACTTATTATTTATATTGTTATTTCTATGTCAATAAAATTAAAATAGTAAGATTGTGATCTTACCAGGCACTTTGAGGGTAGCAATAGCTTGGGCCGTGTTGACTCCGTCATTGGTTTCGCAAATGTATTTGCCGCTATCGGAAACCTGCAGATTGGTGATTAGAAGGAGACCGACATTTTCATCAATTTGGTAGCGACCAAGAGGTAGCTCTCCTCCGCTCTTGATCCATCTAACAGGCAAACGCATTCTCGAGTTACGACTTTGGGCTCGGCAAGTGAAGTTAACGCTGCTGCCGACTTCCTGGATCTTTATGGTTGGGCTGGTGATCATCACCTCGACTGTTGGTTCTGGTTGCGGAACAGGTACCGGTGTTACTGACGATTCACCGCCTGGGTAGGACACATATCACAGATTAGATTATTCAAAATTCAGCAAATAACCGATTTAGTTTTATTTATCTTCCTATTTTCATACTATTTCGACATCACCGATTTTACGATAAATTAGAAATTAATCTAGCTTTACCAAAATGAAATAGAGAAAACATGTTTATATTAAAATTAAGTACTGAGGCCATAAAAAGAAGGAACAAATGATAAATTAAAATTTATATAGTTACATAGTATTTAGAGACATACGAGTACTTAAACTAGACAGAAACTATAAGATACGTAACGTCACGAATGAGTATTTGCTTATAAAGTATGAATGGTTACAGACGAGATGGACATACACAACATAAAGGTACATTTTGATAGCAACACATTATAGTAATTAGATATTATTGTGATCGCTAGATATAACGACAGTGAAGGACAAAACATATGTAGGTAGTTATTGTATAATTGTTAAATGTCACGACAGATTGAACTTGAGCCACATTAACGAATGATGTCTGTTCGAAGCATGACATGAGGCACGAGGACATTGGACGGTGACGCCCGAAGCACCTTCGGTTGTGGTCGGCTACCTGGCTCCGGCAAAGTGGTGGTCAGTACACCGAGGGTGAATCCCTTTTCGGTGATAGTATGACACTCGTAAGTATCCCCTTGTCGTCTGGTGTCCCAGACGGTATGCCAGACATGAGTTGAGTGCCATCCATCCTTGTGGAGTCTCGCTTCGTAATAATACTTTGGAGGATCTTGTTCCGCGCCCTCATGGTAGAACTTTATAGTGAGCGGTTCAGGTGCACGGTATTTGCATGTAAACGTCACCTTTCTTGAGTAAGGGTCGTCACCAGCTTCGTGGATAGTCGGATGTAGTTCCATTATCAATCCTATCGGTTGTCCAGTAAAAGTTTATTCGTACACAATAACATTGAAATTTAAAAGAAACCCCTACCTAAGTAAAATTAGTCTTAAGAATAAATTGCCTACTCGTCATTTATTGTACTAGAGTAGAACTGTGAAGTTCTATAATTATCATGTCATGTTTTTATTTATCGTCTTTTTGTATTGTATTGTATAGCTGCTAGTTTGAATTATTGGATTTCTTTAAGTTGGTGGCTTACCGATAGTTGAGCAATCGTAGCCAGTGTATGGTGGCTGACAGTTGCACACAACTTGTCCCTGGATGTTGAGCTGGCAGTCATTTCCGTTACATGGGCATTGCTGGCAGTTACCACGTTGGTCCTTGTAGTAGCCTGGTTTGCAGCTCTCACAACTGGTTCCGGAGTGACCGGGCGGGCACATGCAGATCTGTAGAATTAATAATACAATATAACTCCTTGTAAGTATTTCATTGATTGTGTAACCGAATTGACACCGTTTAGGTATTTTCCAAAAACTTACCTCAATGCCCTTGGCAGCTGGAAGGATCGGGTCGTAGTTTTCGGTAGCTGTGTCCATAGAAACATCGGCGATAGTTGTGTCATCGATAATGGGGACAACTGTGGCTCGCACTAGCACTCTCTTCAGGTTCCTAAGCACACTCATGAAGTTGCTTCTAGTTGCAGGAGTAACGGTGTTCAAGATGTACCATCCTTCTTCTTTCAGAGGAATTTGGTAGCTCTGCGAAAATATATTATTATATTAGTACAATAGTAGTAATACAGTAACTCCCTCGTAGGTCGTCTTAACCGTAGGATTTAGAATTACATTACAAATATGTTTTGACACATTGTTTGCCATTATTAAAATGGTGACTTACGTAAGAAACTCCAACTGGGAACTGGTTGGGGTTGGTCCAGTAGATAGAGATGTCACCACCGTCGAGAACGACGTCGGTTCCACGCTCAGACATCGAATATACGTTAGAATTGAATTTCTGTCTCAAAGAGATAGTACCACCGTACGAGAGAACTCGGTTACCTGCAAAAAGAAGACATACCTATCGTCAAAATTTAGTTCAAAATTTCAGACTGTTTGGTGTGAGATCTAGAATTATTATTGCTTTTTGCATTTTCTATTTTACTCAGTGCAAGTAACTTTTATAAAGAAAGAAACAATACCAGAAAGGTAAGAAAAGATACAGTACGGCTTTTTCCACTTATCAAAATAATGACAGTATACTGTTAATAAGGGTAGTAGGTATATTAAAGAAATATTTGTCCTATTAACTTACCAGGGAAGATAGGTAGTGACCAGTACAGCTCAATATCAGGTCTGAAGGCGAAAGTGTAGACCAGCTCGCTTTGTTGGAACATCGGTTGGAAGTTATCTTGGGTCACTCTCTCGGCGTTCAAATCCGTGATTGTAAATCCTCCGTAGTTTTCACCAAGTACCGGCGCTGCGATTGGTACCCTTGTGAAGTGGTTGCCCTAAAGAAACAAGAGTATAGTAAACAAAACATTTTGAAAATTTAACTATCATCACGGCATTTCGTGCTGTGTGCAGTATGAAATACGAAATAAATTAAAATGACTTACTTCGTGGCAATCAGAAGAAACGCCAGAACAGTAGCAAGACAGGCATCCGTTAGGGTTGTTAGCGTCAAGTCCGAAGGAACCAGGTCTGCAACGGTCGCAGGAATCACCTTCAACGTTCTGTTTGCAGAAGCAGTTGCCACTACTGTCACAGGGAGCAGTTGTTCCACGGGGGTCGCATCTAAAATATAAAGTTGACAAATGGTAAATCGTCCATATGATTAGATAGATTAAATGATTGAGATAGACTGTGTTCCGAGATTATTTTTTTGACGTTTCAAAAGTGCCTGTAATACTCATATGCAGTTGGAACAAATGCTTTTGACTTTCAAATTGACTTTAAGAACGGATACTTCAAATTGGATTTCAATATATCAATATACCCTTTCTTCGAATGTTGGTCAGTGCTTTTAGTCTTTTCATTTTTTGATTTTATTCTTAACACAACAATATTTATTTACCGGCATGGCTGCACAGTGCTAGAGCGCAGTTCAACGCAGTTTCCGTAAGGATCCCGTTCGTATCCAGGCTTGCATAGTTCGCACTCATCACCATCAGTATTGTCAGCACAGTCCTGAGTGTAGAAAATAATATTATTTACGCTCAGTCATTTCAATGGCTATTTTAATCAAATAATCAAATCAAAATATATCCTTAAGCATTTTTTTTATTATCTAATTTACGTTTTTGTTCCGGATGGATTGTTTGAAATATAGAAAGAAAGAAAGTTAATTGAAAGAATAACTTACGTAGCACACTCCGGTTTCTGGATTGCACATGTTCGATTTTCCATTACATTCACATGGCTCACAGAGTTCCAAGTAAAGACCACTTGAGCTCCTGAAATTTATTAATTTTTATTATTATTGACCGTTTGAATTTCAAATACCACTTAAAATTTTGTATAAACTGACCTCTTGAATCCAGGTGCGCAGTCTTCGCAGGAAGTTCCGACGTAACCAGGGGGACACATACATTGTTCCACGTGGAAAGCAGTGGGTCCGTAACCGTCTGGTTCTGCAGTTTCTATACTGGCACTGACTGGTGAAGCAAATTCCGTGCCAGGAGCATAAGTAGCCTTGATCAAGATTGTCTTTACGTCAGCCAAAGCGAGAAGGAAGTGCTCACGAGACACCTCCTTGCCATCAGGTCTGTTTAGGAAAAAGTATAAGATAATGAAAAAAATCTACGAAAATAATTGACATTTCTTTAGAAAGAGACTTATATATTTACCTCTGCCATCCCTTTTCAAGGAACTGTACACTGGCGTTCAGAATACCTTCATGAGATGCTATGAAATCACCGAAATAGTGGAATGTCAGGCGGTTTTTCTGTAAAACATTAATTAACGATGAGATTTACTTTCACAGGTTTGTTTTAGTTACATAAATCTTATACTCTCAGTTACTCACGCTAATCAATTGAACATCAGCTGCGGTATTCCTGTATCTCGCATCGGGTGAGTTCAGTACGTTCTTCAACACATAGTTTAGTGAACCACCATATGATGTCACCTTATCACCAGCGAAGCTGTTCGAAATGATTTAAGAGGGTTATCATTTTTGGAATCGAAAATATATGAAAAAATATCACACTGCTTAGGTAGTTTATGTAAAATGTTAATATTGGCATAAGGTACCTGGAAGGCAGACTCCAGTAGTAGATAGTGGATTGTGAGCGGTCAAGTTGATCAAAGGAAATATCACCCCTGTACAGTTGAGGTTTGAGTTCAGTTTCGACTGGTGCTGTGTATCTGACAGAGCCGGGTGGTCCAGTTGGGGAGATGTTGTAGATCTTCACCTGATCCACGATCTGAGGTACGTTGAACTGTACACTGATTGTCTTACGGCGCAGGTTACTGCTCATACATTGTTGCGAGACACCCGAACAGAAGCAAAGTGCGCATCCATGCCTTAAATAGAAGAAATTATAGTAAATAATTGTTCTTCTTGTGTATCAAAGTTATTGAGTAACTTTGTTTCCGATATCCAACTAACAAAATATGTATAAATTTTGTGAAAAATATATTAAAATACGAGTAAAACGAAATTGTTTATCGTTATTACCTAAAGTCTGAGGACAAGTAGAAGGAGTCGTTCTTGCACTGGTCACAGAAGCGTCCCTGCACGTTCTCTTTGCAGACACACTCATCTGGTGGGCGGATGACCTTGGTACCAGTAGGGTTGCAGTTGTCCCTTCGAGCGGGTTTACAGGAGTCTCCAGGAATCATTGGGTTACCTTCATAGCCAGGGGCGCACACCTCACAGTGCTTGCCTTCATAACTGCAAATTATTAATTATCTCATTAAGATTCAATATTAACAGTCAGTAAAGTTATTGCACTAAAATAAGTTATAGTGAAAAATGAATGTAATATCTTAGAAATTACATTAATTTTTCGATATTAGTGTCAGCAAAAATTCTCACCCAGGGAAGCAATCACAATATACGCTTCCATCGGGTCCTAGTGAGCAAGTCCTGGCGAATTGGTTTTCGCGGTTAGTCAAGGGGCATGGGCATTGCTTGCAAGGTATGCCGCTGGCTGGATCACCGTAGGTTCCTGGTGGGCATTCTTCGGGCATGCAGTCACCGAGCCAAGGGCCAACCTTCTTGCGAATATAGCCTGACGCGCATTTCTAAAAAATATCGATTGCATTTGTTAGTTTTTCTGAATGTTCTCGTATTCAGGCAAAGCCTGTAATTGTAATACTTTTCTGTAATAGTCTTTGTTACCTGACAAGAAAGTCCAACGTACTCCTTGGGGCAGGTACACTCTTCCACCAGACTGGCGGCACCGAGACCAACGTTGATATGTTCAGCAGATTCCATAGCGAAGTCGGAAATATTTACTCCGGCGTTGTTGAGGTCTGAGCGTAGGAGGATCATTTCGATTTCATCGAGGCTGAAATGGATTGGTACATTACGTGAAATGTACAATTCACCGAAGGAATACCGAAATCCTTTAGATTTCGAATAAATACTTACGTCATCATAATATCTTCTCGGGTTGCAGGTGTGTAGCCACTAGAGCTGTTCTTCAACCAGTCTTCGGGTGTCAGACGGGCCTCAATGTTCAAGTCTCGGGAACCACCAGCACGACTAATGTGGAACAGATTGCCATATTTTCCCTGAACATAGAAAGAAGAATTAGAATTAAAATAAACAAAATCTAACATTCTTTTTTATTTTTATAAATCATTTTAGTTACCTTGATAATGATTGTCGGTATGCTGTCATCGAAACCATAAACTTGGGTGTGTGGTGACACAGTGTACTTGATGTGTCCACCATAGGACTTCAGCTGGTTGCCATTGTAAGATTCAGGTAGCGTCAAGTACGGATGTGCGCTGGGCCATCCAGATGTGTCAATTTTGGTTACCTGAAGTTATATAAAAGAAATTAATCAACCTAGAAACACAATTTTTCCTAAATTATTATCAATATAATTTGAGTGTTTCAAAAATACACTAGCAGTTAGACTTACCGCTGCACCGTTCCTCAAAGGTTGGTAATAATATTGATTAGATATGGGTTGCGTATCAATAATGACGTCTCCTGATGGGGAGTTCCTGATTCCAATTAGTCTAGTGCCACCTTCTCCGAGAGGAGTAGGCATATTGTAAGTGTACAAATCGGCGCTACGGCACTGGCTGGACTTTCCGAAACAGAAGCATCGGATGCACTCACTCTCTGAACGTGCCTCACTGTAAATAGATGGACATGTTTTGTAGACATAGAGGCTTCTTTAAAATATTTCAATCACTATAATCTTTCTATGGTTATTAAATTTAATTGTTTCATATAAACATTATTATTTTAGAGGTACTTATGTCAAATTACTATATTAGCAAATACGATAAATTATCGTTGCCCGCTTGTAAGTAAGCAGTCATTGTTGTATTTTATTATAAATATTCGTCTTACTTGTTAAAATATCCACGAGGGCAGGGGTCAGTCTTATTGACGAATACAATAGAATCCGGTGCGGCGAACGTAGTGCCTTTGTTGTTGATAGCCTCGCAGGAGTAGGCTCCGCTATCCTCAGGCTAAAAACAGACCACAAGTTAAAAAGGTAGGTTACGATCTTCATAAAACTCGAAGTTAATGAAAAGTAAGTCCCTTTGTTCAACAAGTAGGTGATGAAGGGACTTTGGCTTCCTAACGCACGTTTAGGGTCTAGGCGGTCAAATGCTAGTGCGTAAGGGGGCTTAGTTAGAAACTCCAACCAACCATCATGTTGGGGCATGTAATAACACCAATGCCGGAATCGCTGGTGAAGGAACATTTCGGTGGGACGTGTCCCCAGTTCAACCGCCATGAAATCAACGGGACGGGTACTCCGACAGCCTCGCATCTCAAAACCAACGTATCGCCGGGGTTCAGCTTCACATTCGAAGGTTTCGGGGGGCTTGTGACGTGCACGGGCACTAGAAAAATAATGAAGTAATTTTAAATTAGTAAATCTAAGCTAGTAAGCTTAGCTATAAAAAAATCACTATTCTTTATTTTTATACTTTAGTTTTATTTAAGTATTGTTCATTGTTCAAGAAATTAAGATATAAATGAAAAAAGCTTGTATCCCTTTAGCAAATCCATCTCAAAAACAATGAAAAAATATATTCTCTAACAGTTAGAAATACGAACAGTAACTTAAACTGGATAAAACATGTAGTTATACTTACTGCAACCATACTCGTCGGAGCCGTCCTGGCAATCAGTCTGTCCATCGCAGTGGAAACTCCTGGGAATGCACTGGTCTCCGGCACTGCAGCTGAATTCAGCAGGCGAGCATCTGCCGTCGGTCGTCCTTCCACAGTTTTGTTCATCAGAACCATCACCGCAGTCGTTTTCGGAGTCACAGATCCACGTCTTCAATACACACTTATGGTTGTTACACTTGAACTGGTTGGGTTCGCACATGCCGTCGTGGTCTGTAAGGCGTTAAAATCTTGTGTAACTTAGATTTTAGACACAGATTGTTTACATACTTCACTTTATCTTTAAAAGATACTGTACAAATATAATAACAGAGTTTTAATAATACGTACGGCAGTTCTCCTCATCAGATCGGTCGGCACAGTCGTAGTTGTTGTCGCAAACGGCAGATTTAGGGATGCACTGGCCGTTTCCACAAGTCGCTTCGTAGGGTTGGCAGCTAGAGAATGGCGCATAGGTCACCGCTGTAGACATACAAATAGGTGTTCTTGTACTAGCTGTTGTATATCAGATTAAACCTCGTTTGGATGGATAGTGATATAATGGGAAGGCTGACAAAAGACTTAGTGAGGAATAATATCAAAAAAGGAAGTTTGTGACGAATTGATAGTAAATGAAAATAAAATGCGCAAATTCTCAGTATTTCCAGGACGAGAGACAATCTGTTAGAAAATTTTATTAAATAATTTGAAAGGTCTAATTTCAATTGTAATGTTGTGCTATGGAATTCAAAAGAAATTTGAGTTATCAAAATATACTATTGGGGTTTAGGTCCAGTAGTAGACGGAAGCTGGTTATTGAAGATGATAATTAAAATGATGATCAGATACTAACGTGCACTGTCAACTTGCAACTCAACGCGGACTTGTGAGCCAGGGAATCTCAAGTAGTCATCAGCTTGGCAAATGTAAACTCCACTATCGCGTTCCTGTAATTATCATGTCAATTTAAATACATTATCACGTATATTTCTTTTGAGTTATTTAAACATGTTCTGTTATTACCTATTGTTTATTATTCATAGACGTTTATTGGTTTTTGGAAATAAACCGAATACGCAGTAGACATGTTACTTCAATATAATCTATGGAGTTTCTTGCATATACTTTTCTAACAGTTTGAATCGAGCAAATAGCTTCACCAGGGCGTAGACTGACAGACTGACGGTCGTCTTGTCTTTAAATATTTTACTTGACTTATGACCGTATTTACTTACTTAGATTGAGGGAGCACCTAAATTAACCTCGTCACTATACTTTTAGCTGTCAATTGTAAGTGAAAACCAAAATGCTGTCAAGTGTCACCCATCTTAACTTAGGGGTTCATTAAGAGAGGTTGTAGGAAATAGATACTAAGCATTGTTTTTTTTTTATTTTTATGACGTAAGCCGGTAAACGAGCAGACGCATCACGAGATGGTATGCAATCGGCGTCGCTCATGGATACGTGGAATACCAGAGGCGATACAAGTGTGTCATCGGCCTTTTAGGAATTTGAAGATTGTTGAGGATTCAGGGATTGGGGTGCAGTCACCCCAATCCAGATTTGGGGAATGGAAGGGGATAATTGGGCCTCCGGTAACCTCACTCTCACAACGGAAGCGTTGTTTCACGTCGCTTATCACTCCAGTCGGGTCGGCCCGTTCGTGCCCACGCATGGCTCTCCCACACTTAAGTTCGGTTCTATTGGTATAATTGAAATAAAATATTTGATTTCATAGATAATAATTAATACTTACGGTAACTTTGTACATTTCCAATCGTCCTCGGACATCAGTTGAGCCGGACTTGATACTTCCTCCTTGTTTGGTCCATCTGACGTTCGCACGCAGAGGTCCCTCATCACGACATTGGAAGACCACATCTCCTCCTATAGAACCCAAGATGCATCAGTTAAAGCTGATGGTGATATCATCAGCTAAAATCCATGATCCCCAACGCATTCCAGAATTTTATGATATGTTTCATATGAACGAGGGTATATGCTGTTGAATATATGATACAATTTTATTCATTTTTTTAAGTGAGTATTTATAGTGACGACATATAGTTTGGAAAATGCATCTATAATTATGTTTCAGGAAAATATGGAACTTGTAGTATAAGGACATTTAATGAGCGAGACCGAAACAGGACAAAGATATGACCTTGAGTTACGATGAAAATAACTACAATATTTTTGTTTTTTTTTTCATATACAGAGTGCCAAGCACGAATAACTATCGCATTGGTAACGTAATAGTATCGAGCGCGTTCGGCTCTCTGATTGGCCGGTTCCATTGAACCAACCAATCAGGGCTACGAACGCTATCGCCGTTAGTTATTCGCGCTTGGCACTCTAAAAGGAGATCATGTGATGAATGTTATGCTATTTGTAATTTCGCATACAAATCCCACTTTCTATATCATGCTGTAATTGAACCCATAGTATGTAGTAACACAGTAGATTTACAATACCTATTATTGCGTTTATGATAAGTAAAGAATCCCAATTTTTAGAATTAATTGTTAATGAAACCGATATTTAATAAAAAAATGTGTTAATAAATAGGAATATTTTTTTTGTATTTGAAAATTTCAACGACACTCAACTTAAAATAATAAATGAATTTTTTTTTAGTTTAATAATAAGATTTCGTCTTTTTCTTCTGAATGACAAATTAATTGTAATAATAGAGACAACACATTCCGTAAATAAGATGATTGAAAGTTGAGTTACGTTTTTATAATTCTCGTTAAAACCCATGTTATACTTGATTAAAAAAGTATAAATATTATCGAACTAATATATATAAATAAAGTATCCCTATTATTGTATAAATTAGAAATAAATAGTAATTTAAATGTAATAATAATGTATATGGTTCGAAATTATTAAAATAAAATATTTCATTCATGCAAAAACCCACATAGTAAACTAACAACTAAAATGATTCGATGAATAATTTTTTTTATAATAATACATTATGTAATTATAAATAATATATCACCCATAATGTTACGCACACTGATTCAGTTTAAGCAAAACAAAAAACGCTAAAATTTTATTTATATTTTAGATCCCAACATTAATAATAAGCTTTATCTTTTTTATGTCATATAATACTACTTATGACACTCAAACGGTTTTTATTTAATAAGCTATTAAATGAAATGTTATGAAAACCCAGTATTATGGTTGCCCAAAAAATAGTCAGGCAAGCCGACTCACCCGAGTTCACTGTTCCACCACCATGAAAGAAATAATAAAGAGAGAAGATTATTCTTTATTCTTAAAAAAATTATTGATATACCAGTCACCTGCCTACCGTTATATTTATCTATTAATAAGACCTCCACCGATTATGTAAAAATAAGACATAAAATTAATAACAGTTTGTTTTCTTACTTCAATAAATATTTGTGAATAACTTAGAAACCGTCAAATCATCGTTGAGAACATTTACTTTTATTAAGAAAACAGATTGTTGTTATCTATAAAAGCGGGACAAACACAACTGGATTATAAATTACTTCAGGTGTGCCCGTAACTTGAAACCAACGAATATAATAATCATTTAAATTTTATCTAATCATTTTGTTTCATCAATAGACCTAATTAAACGTTGGTTGCGTGCGTTTGCACGACTTTAGCGGTGTCGTTAACGTCCGTCATCTTCGAGCGTCTAAATTAAACTGACTTAAATTGTCCGTACCAGTACCATTGCATACTTACATTGTTTTCTTTCACTACCCTACTTATTTTAGTTGCATTTTATGTAAACTAAACAGCAGTTTAGTCCCAAACCTACTAGCTTTTTCTAATAATGGGTTTACCTTCCATGGTTGTACAGTTACCATTTAAAAAAATATATATTCTAGTTACAGATCGCCCATTACTTTCCTATTCAGGAGATGCCTAATGATATTATGCCCTTTTTCATCAGTTGGTACTATCATAAAATAACCTTTACATATTTCTAAAATCTCAATTTTACTTAGCTCCACTAGGATCGCAGATTGAAATTTTATAGTTGCCAGTAGTAAGTACTTGGTACAAGGACGTCAAAAAATATTTTAATGTTCTTGATTTGGTACTTAACTCGTCGAGTACCGTCATTATAGACACAATTATAGACCGCTTGGTGTTTGACAGTTTAATAATCTCTGGGCCAGCTTGACAGTCTAGGTAATGTTGAAAAAAGATCTTATTAAAATTATATTATTTAATTAGGTATTAATTTCCTTACCGTGTCTGACTGACTGGTTTGCTGGGTAGGTCATCAGTTTCAGCGCTGGTGGACCTGCAAAAGTATTTATTATTATTACATTTTACATAACACTTTCGTTATTATTCATCAAGTTATTTTTAGTATTTATGTTTACTGAAAATAAACTTATAACTATTTTTATACATGTTAGAATAAACATTATGTACAATATATTATGTGTATTTATGTACACTGTACAATGAGTACATTATCTGACGGTTCATGAAAGTTACAGCTTATTATACATTTTATTTAATATTAATAGAAATGTATTCCGGAAACCATATTTATTGTTTAATCAAATGTGTGAAAAGAATATTGGCATTTTAGAATAATTTTGTAAATGGAATATGTAATTACTTATTTAAAAGATTAGTCCGGGACTGGATTCAATGATCCAATAATTTATTTAATTTAATTTACATTGAATGTAAATATTTTGTGACTTGTTGACTTTTATAAAAACAAAAACAATGAACCGTAGATCTACGCACATATTCTAAATTTAAACATTTCAAAATTATACACCATAAACAGTAAAATTGCTATATACAGCAAACTAGTTTTATATATTCTTTCTGTTTTTATTAATAAATTAATAGGCCAATAGTACCTTTACAAAAGTAATATAAATCGTGTCACGTAAACACATAAATATTGAATACGGTGTATAATTATTGAAAGTAATACAAATTTATTATACATTTTCACCTTATGATTAGTATAAAGTTTATCTTATGTTATCAATAATTCAATTTCCAGGCAAATAATAGTTAATCTGACTACCGACTTTCGTCTCTTTATAAGTCGATCAGTTCAAACCAAATTCTTGTAAGTATAAAGTATTAGAAAATGTGTTAGACATTCTACAGAGGAAGTAAGTTAGTCCCAAATACAAGACTTCATAAAACCTACGCAATAAATTAGCTTTCACGCAAATAAATTGCAATTGCATGTTGATTATTTTTCATTTTATTTATCAGATAAAATATATAGATTTTTTCAGTACTTTTAATAGCACTTACTTTAATATAAGATTTTCAATATTTCATACAATATATGCAAAAAAGATAACCTTTTCTGGCTGCCTGAGATTCGATCAAAACTATCAGATTACACACTACAACAGTCTAGAAATGCCCACTGCTGACTTAAGGCCTCTTCTCAAACGGAGATAGTTTGAGCTCTGGTCTGATCACTACACCTGTTCAATGCTGGGTGGCAATTTGAAACTTAGGTAGGAATAATTCGAAATTATAAGCCCAGGTTTCCTCACGATGTTTACCTTATTTGTTTGTCAGCGGTGTCTAAATAATCTGTCAAATCGATCATAAGTATACACATAGAAAACAAACCCCATGTTGTTATTGAAATTCGTACATTTATTCCCAATTATTCTCAACTGTAACCTCTATTGTATTTCTATGTTATTAACCACGACGCACAATTAACATGTTCTATAGTCGTGCAGGACGTCACAAATTAACATTAATAGTTAGACAAAAGACGTTCACAGTCTAGTTTTCTGTAATCTAGTACCTAGACAGAAACTAAGATTTAAAACCAAAACGATATTAGTAAGGAGATTCCGTTAAATGGGAGGAGTCTGTCCTTTAAGACTATGTTAAAAACAACTTCTAAAGGAATCGCAATCATCATTCTATTTCTTACTGTTGCGGGGACAATCAAATTCGTCACTGTAGTCGAACGGACAGTCAATATGTCCGTCACAACGCCGATACGCATCTATGCACGGACCGTTCTCACAACGCCATTGGTGAGCGCTGCATACACCTAGTAAATTCATGATGTTTTAAACCTAAAATCTAGACTAATCTATGTATACTTACCAAAAAATAAACATATACATAACATAACTTCCTTTTATCCTTTTATCCCCGAAGGGGTAGGTAGAGGTGCACAATATGGCACTTAATGCCACTGTACAATGTAACACCCCCAAATACCCAAAAAAATAAAATGTTTTCATTATGTCAATTTCAGAATAGACAAGAATGTATTGTGTGCTAAAATGTGTTCACTTAATTTTAATAACACAAACTATGTTCATTTTGCCTGCTCCGTAATTGACTTGCAAGGAAACCATGATTTATTATTCAAAATAATTTTACCGATAATACATAAAACTAGAATACAATAACTTTGCTCCTGGAAGAAGAATACTAATTGTTCTCGTCAAAGTGTTGTAAAATATACTTTAAAACATGCTTACCATTGCTGTTGACAGGAACTCTGCTGGGGTATCTTTGTGTTGTAGGGTAATTATAGACGACCCGGGTAGTCACTGGTAGCCGAACGGTGGTGGACTCGGGGCAGTTGACCTCATCAGAGCCATCTGAGCAGTCAACGTGACCGTCGCAGAACACCGAAGTTGACATGCATTGACCGTTGTGACATTGGTAGCTGTCTTCAGGACACGCTGTAACATTACAAGCAATGGATTAAACATTTGCCACATTTTAGTAATCAACTAAAAGACAAAAAGGATAAGTTTTTAAACGTGCAGGATAAACATCACACTATAACTAATACAGTGTATAGATTGGCTACATTGTCGTCGAACTTTATCGCCCATTTGCTCCAAAGTTTGACCACAGCTGTTGATCATTCAAATCGACATACAAACATACATCGTTGTCAAGATGTAGTTAATTAAAACTATAAAAGAGTATACTAACAGGATTAAAAGCAAAAGTGCGGAATCGTGCAGGAATCAAAATAGTTCAGACAAATGACAGATAATGACGAAGTATCATTCGCAACCAGGATTAATAAAGTTACTTATATAATTGAATATCATTTGCGTAATATTTTGAAAAATATAATCCTTGTAGCGAACGACATTTAAGAATCATTCCAGATTGATGTTATGACAATGATGACAGAAAATAAATTCGAACTGCCTGAAACGTTAATCTAAAATGGGTCTAGCCTACACGTAACACACAATGCATAATTATGGTAAAATTATAAGTACGTAATATAATATGTAAAATATTCTTGGGTTGAAAGGAGTAAAAATAGGGTACGCTATGTTTTTTTTTCGTTTTACAACAGACTGCATTCCAAAATATTTGATTTCTTCCACACTTGAGGGCATTTAGACGCGACCGACAACAGTGATACAAGCTGATTTAAATTGTTTGTTAATGTATCTAAAGAAAAGAAAGTATTCTTTTTCATATTTGTAATGATTTATTACGAAAATTGTCTTGTCATACATATAAGTAAAGTTACAGTATTTTGTAGGTCTTTTGGGACAAAAACTTGTTGCAAAGAGTAAACCCTCAAATGTGGCAGTACAAAAATGAATGAGATACCCGTATATAAGCAGTTCTGTTCGTCAGAAAAGTCTGAGCAATCGTAAATGTTATCGCAGCGTCGAGAGTGCGGGATGCAGTGTCCGTCATAACAAGTGAACTCAGATTCATGGCAGGCCGCAAGCGCTGGTGAACGCGACGCTCTCGTCATGTACCAAGCTAAACACCCATTTATTTATCAACCTTCATGTAAAAACATTACAGTCTATTCTAGTCTGACAGCTAAGATGAAACTTATTGAGAACTACCACGATGTGACGTCACACAACGAACGGCACAACGTGTTTCATACAATCTTTAATAAAAAAATTATTGATTAGTTAATGACGTAGTAATCCTTTAAGAGGACTCAGTTGGTATTACTTTCACGTGTCTTTTACTTCATTCAAAGTGTTATCGTAGAAAACTGAAGAATATTCGAGAAATATTCTCTATAGGAAAGTATCAGGTCTAAATGAAAAAAGTGTTTTTTGAAGTTCTCTTTGTCCTAGAAGGCACTATAGCATCTATTTTTTAGTGCGTGGTGCGGTATTAATTTGTAGTAAGTGCCATTAAGTGTTAGTTTAAAAAGTGCGGAAATTAGTGCGATTTTTTTGGTCTATAAGCGTGTGAGTGACTTGCGATCCATTCACATTTTCTTCTGAGAGACTAATGCTTGTTACAGACTTCTGATCACTTTTACATTCAAAAAATGGTGTATAAACATATTTTGACTTGCATAGCTAAGTTTTGGCAGTTCAGTCTATATCAAGCATTAGCGAGTGTATTCCACCTAAAGAAATTAAATTATTAAATTGAACTCTCCATAGCTATTATTGTGACACAATATTTTATTAAAAACTTATTGTCAAGATATTCAAGATGTCTATATTGACCAGTTACGGTGGCGTCTGAAATATATTTTTTCTTATAATTGAATGTGATATTTATTTTTGACAAATGGCATTATGATACTTACGGCAGTTTGCTTCATCAGATCCATCTTCGCAATCCTCGTGGTAATCGCACAAGAAGTTAATGTCGATGCAAGTATTGTCAGAGAGACACCTGAACTGTTCGAAAGTGCATTGCTCTGAAAATAGTAGATACATATTTTCATTATGGATCGATGGTGACCAATTGAATATATTAAAAAATAGTCGAAGAAGAAAGTAAGTAAAGACTTCAAAACATATTGATTGAGATAGAACATAAAAAGACATTAGGGTCAGCAATAAAGAGACTGTTGACTAATAGATGCTGTCTACAAAATTAAGTCCACTTATCTATTATTGATATTGTATATACATAGTTTGAAATAAGTGTCTTAACTAAAAATATTCTCTTATAAAAGGAATCTGCAAATACTTACGTTCAGGGCTAGTGATCATGGTCTTATTGCAGTTTTTCTCATCGCTACCATCAGCACACTCAGGGATCCCATTGCAACGTAACGAGTACGGAATACATTCATCGGTGTCACATCTAAAATAAAAATATTTAATTTACACTTCATACCCTGATCAACACGCAGATAACGCTGTATCACAATGCTAGCATCTTTCGCTATAGGCCTTAAAGTATAATTTCGCATAACCAAATCAGAAATTCACATACGCTCGCAAGCAAATCAGTATTATAATAATCAACTCTTTTGCATCAGTTACCTGAAGTCATCGGGACGATCACAGTGATAACAGCTGACTTCATCAGAGCCGTCCGAACAGTCTCGAACGCCGTTGCAAATGTCAGTCGTCGGTAAACATCGCCCATCGCATTCGTGTTCACAGGCTTTAAAAACAATACGATTTATGTGAATAATATAAAACTTAATGTATCACCAGGATCACACAACAACAAAATCGCAAATTTTCGCAGTTATAAAAGTTAGAGACATATTGCCATGGCACCAACTGCAGTTGTATAAGTACTCGCCAGGATTTAGGAATAAAATATATTTAGACACTAATTTATCAAGAAGGACCGAATTACAATGAAACTGCATAGCATTTTTAAGAAGTACAAATAGTAATACAAGTTCGTGATATTAAATTTGTTCAATGTGATTCGGTCCTAACACATAGCCTTAAAATGTAAGTTAAGTTAAACACATTATATTAATTAAATTACAATGTATTAGAACTACAACATTATTCTAAACAACAAATTCTATTTAAAATCAAACTTTAGTCTTTGGCCTAGCCAAAGGTTTGGATTTGGCACAGCTTGTATAATGATGTTGTAGTTCAGGAGCCTTACCATAAACCCCAAATGATATTGAATACCAACTGAAGATTAATTTACATTAACCACGCAATGAGGGATATCGCACCTGCATTTGTCACTAGGGGCGTTATTGAGAAAAATGATTCTTTCCCAATGGCATGTCAAGTCTAAATATTATATTTTGGACTGCAGTACGTTAGGACTATATAGAGATATCAAAATCGATAGCCCTCATATTGTCTTAAACGGTACAGAATCAGAAAAATCCAATATTGACGACCGGTATTTTGGTGAAATCTTTGAACACTAAATTCCTTAAAAATGTAAAAAGACGCAGAATATAACTCAATATACCTTCACAGCCTTCTTCGTCTTCACCCCCGTCGCATTCAGGATTGCCATTACATTTACCAGCGCATAGGACTCTAGAGCCTGGGTTGCAGGTAAAGCTATCCGGAGGACACGACGTACCTGAAATCATCGTTACATTATAGTCTCCAAACATCACATTCCACTGTCCCCAGTGCTATTAACACATTGCGAACAACTACTGCTGTTACCACTTCAAGTAAATTATCAGCAATAATGACAAATTGATTTTAATTCCCCAAAAACATTGATTCTAACTGAAAAACACATATAATAAGTGAAAATCCAATTCGAGAAAGTCTAACTACAAGAATAACGACAAAAATAATCCGCTAGAAGAATATAAAAAAAAGATTGACGTATCATGCGGTATGCATGCGCATGCTACTAGCTGTAACAATATGAATGTGGACCTTTTATCACATTTGATGGTTCACACTGTTTTTCATCTGAATGATCGGGACAGTCAAACCGACCGTCACATCTTCCTCGTACACTTACGTATACACCATCGATGCATTGCCAACGATCCATTCCTTGCGCCACTAAATATTTACACATAATTAGATGACGAGTTTTACGACACTTAATTTTCGTTCACTATCGTTCATCAATCGTTTTGGATTATAAAATGTATCTTTTAAAAATATTTAAATACTGAGTGGATAATAAAATTATTAACATCCCTGTTGTCAACCGATTGACGAATTACATTGAACGGCGAAAAATATTGACAGCATTCATTAAGCGTTACTTACGGCAATTGTACTCGTCTTCGCCTTGACTGCAATCATCCCGACCATTACAAAGATATGCTATATTTATACAAGAACCATCCCGACATGGGTATTGGTCCCTTTTGCAGGGGCAGCTGGTCTCGTCGGAGCCGTCATCACACTCCACCGTTCCGTTGCATCTGGCATCGGCTTGCACGCACATTCCATTCGTGCATTCATATTCATAAGCCATGCAAACTGTGCCTGCCGTAATAATGCGCCATAACCACATAAATACACCAGAAAAGGACTCATTAGAGAGTGTTAAATCCCTTTCTAGTGTGGTTATATTAAAAATACATAAATTAAAGCATCATTAAAATGTCTAAAACGTTTAGCTATCTAAGATAATAATAAACTTGATGTAAAAGTTAATTTCAATTTTATTAAATCTTGTAGATAATTCCATCGTCAAGTTTATTTTTATTATTATTGTTATGAAAATTAATCTCGTTAAGTGCAACTTTAATGCTGTGCATTCAAATAAGCGATCTGATGTTGGTAAAATTAGTTGTAATTATGTATATTAACATGCTCAAGGGCTTGGACACATCACCACGGCACACGTGTCGCCCTACCGTAACGGCACCGCAATAGCGTCGCACAATAGCACGGCGCAGCGCTGACGTGATTACCGTGGTGATGTACACCGTCACCTTTTGTACATTCTCGATAATAACAAAATTTACAAATAGAATCATCGTTAATAAATTTGGAAAAGTTCAAACCATAAGAGCAATGACGTTCATCAGAACCATCCTGACAATCGTTCGTGCGGTCGCAATGTTTGGATGCAGGGATGCAGTAGCCGTTACCACACTTGAAGTCGTTTGCACCACAAGCTAATTGGTAAAAGAAATATGGTGGGTTCATATTCATAGTTTAATAGTTGAGAAGGACTTAGACCACCAGCAATTTGGAAACGAAAGATTGAAAGAAATGAAAATAACAGTGAAAGAAGAACAAAACTTTGAAGAAATAAATTGAAATGATAACACATCACCATGGAGACTCATTGGATAGAAAGACAAATCAAATGAAATAGATTTCAAAGTAAGAGTCAGAAAGCCAAGTACAAGAACCCTTTATAGTATCAACTTACGACAGTTCTGTTCGTCGGATAAATCTTCTGGCGTACAATCGTAATGACGATTGCATCTTAAAGATTCGGGAATAATCTTGCCATTTCTGCATTTAAAGTAGCCAGTGGCTGGAAATACATGCGAAGCGATACATGTAAACTGATCATGACATGTGATAGGTAATGTTATGGTGAATAGTATTTATGATACTCTATCGTGCATGGATTAACATTGTTTCAGAGCTAGTGATGACGTTTGTGAATTTAATGAAATTGATTTTAATTTTTGTATTATAAATCTAGAGTGGGCTAAATGTGTACTCTAGGGCTATGGGAGTCTCTCTTACCAATACAGTTTCTTTCGTCGGATCTATCTGTAGGACAATCGACCCGTCCATCGCATCGCTTACTTCGTTTTATACATAAGCCGTGGTCACATTGCCATTGGTCTGATCTGCATGCTTTTTTAAAATGACATATCATACATGAGTTATTCGGTTAGAAGTTAGTCCAAATCCAATCCATCCAAAATGTGGTTTTGTTTATCAAAGTTTACCAATGCAAAAATATTATCACTATTTTTATCAAACATTTCCAAACTATCTTTGTTTCAGGTATTTTAGTTTCAAGGTAACAAAAATTATTAATTGTTTTTCAAAGACTAAGAAATAAACGTGAAAGGAAGATACTTTAAAAAACTGTTGATTGGAAATTAACGTTTAAAGTATTTAAACAAAACCACGATACTGTTAGTCGCATTCAAGCTAATACTTACGACAGGAAATTTCGTCGCTACCATCTTTTTTACAATCTCTGAATCCATCACAACGAAGTAAGATCGATATACATGAGCCATCATGGCATCTAAAATGACCACTGTCCTTACACACATGGTGCCCAGCCCACCATATCGCACTCGACACTTACCGTATGAACATAATCCAGGGAAGCAGCGTGCAGAAATGCTACGTTAGTAATCTTTTTTTGTTCAAAACGAGGCATTATGAGCTAGCACAGAGACCAAAATTAATGGCATAATAGATATTTGAAACCTTCAGACTCAACGATGACTTATATTTTTCGATAGTTTCTGTACATTTAGGCGTAGATATTATCATGCAAATATTTGAAACCGATGAAATTTTTCTCTGCTATTTATCTTCAATTGCTTTTTTCCTCGTCGTTCTGGCTATCGTGCTTTATCATGCACTAGCCAATCAAATTACTTGACATGCTGCTCATAGTCTCTCGTTGGTTGGGTATTAAAGTTTTTACTTAATAAGAACTGTACTTACGGCAATCTAACTCATCAGAGCCGTCAGCACAGTGTGGTACTCCGTCGCACTTCTTACGTTCTTCGATGCAGTTACCATCGCTAGTGCAACGGAATTCATCGGGCCGACAATCTGATTGAAAAATAAATAAAATGGCATAGTATTATTTAAAAGTGCTTTCAAATTAATTCCATCTAGAGCAATATTCACAATTTTATCAATATTATATCATTTATGATTTCAGTGATTTGCATTTAATAGAATTATATTACGTTATCGATATAATGACCAAAGTAAGAACTCACCACAACCAAATTCGTCGTCATGGTCTGGGCAATCATAGACGTTGTCGCATCGGCGGCTGGACTCGATACAAGCTCCGCTACGGCAATGGAAGTCGTCGTCGCCACATGTTCCTGTTGACAAAACAAAGTATTAATAAACATGAGAATATAAACATGTGTAATAACGCCATCTAGTAACTCAACATGGAACAAACATAAACATGGTTAAGTTTTCGTAGCATCAGTAGATGGCGATACAAGTCGTTTAATATTTAACTTTATAAAATCAACCTATGTGCCAATCATTATTATTTACAGTATTAAACTAAACACCACCAATCATTTATTTTTTTTGTAATATTTAATTTCAATGCATCTCTCATCGTTTAATAGGTATGTCGTATTCAGTCGCTGTAGTACTTTCGTTGACATCGAGTTTCACGCTATTCCACTGCGTTGATCAAACTGTTTAACTTTTAGCAAGTTAAGTCTTCAAGTGATGCAAGACTGCGGTTGCTTATAGATAGACTTTGGCAAGATAAATTGACGTCTCTCTCGTATTTTGAGTATTTGTACAGGGAATTGCTGCTGCTGCATTTAATTTTGTAACTTAGTGAAGCTTTGTACTGATTTATAGCAAAAGAATTTAATAGGTCATATTATTTAATTTTGGATTTATTTCAGTTGTTATCTTATGACATTGGCATGGTATAGGAACACTAAATATAATTTCATTATGAAAATTTGCATTCGCTGCTAACTATTCGCACAATATATTTTTGACTGCAAGAAGTTGGATAACGATAGTCAATTATATTTAATAACATAGAGGTAAAAGGTAAGATCACAAACAAAGCTCATCAAATCAGAGTACACAGCACTTACAACAACGCTCACGTAAACTTGCGTTTAACAAGTGCGCGAACGACACACATCTGGTTAGCATAAATCGACAATAAAAAGAAAAAAGAAGGAACGTAGTCCCGACAAATTTTCTACATCTTTTGTACTATAAACATTGTCAGTAACACCTATACGTATTTAATATTCCGACGTTGTTCGCCGGGGCCTACTACGTGATATACTTAATGCTGCATAAATAGGCAAGTACCCACAGGTATTACCAGTTCAGAGTTTGCGCATACGCTTGTGAAAATCGCGAACTTTCGTGGCTCTTTGGCATTATGTATAGCGACCACGTGGTCTTGTTTAGCAGTCCGAGGATATCCTTTGCAAGATTTTTTTCCCAAGATTGTTGGAGATATTAAGTTTGTTCGCATATTTGAGTTTGTTCTTAACTCATGTTTATGGAGTTGAGTGAATTTATACTCAGTTAACGTTAGATGCACTTTGAATGATTAGATGTGTGCTTGTGTCTCAGGGCCCCAGACGTAAGTAAGAGCTTTGGTCCAAGGTTAAGGGCGTATCGAGAACTAATATGCAGATTGCTCCTCTCTACTGACTGCTCTAATTGTAAATAACTTTCATATTGATTACATTTTAGTGTGATCAAAGTAATGGTTTTCATGAAATGACTTGTTACTGAGGCAAAGGCTTCGTATGGTGCTAGTTAGAGCTACAAAAGTATTAGATGAGTGGTTATAATGGCCGACCCACGTCATTTTATAGACAAATCAAAACAAAACAAATCATAGTATCCCACTCACTAGACAAGGCTTCTTTGCAATAATCGCTTAACATTTGCAATAGTGACGTCAGAAGCCTGCAATTTAGGTCGGCCGGGCTGGTCAGGTATGCATTAACATTAATCGAAAGATTTATTTAGCGTTCAAACAGTTTCAATGGCTAATAGTAGAAGGTGGGTCCTACTGTTCTAAGATATTTGAAACAAATTGGACAAGAGTGTGTCTTAAAATGAGCAACAATCATTTCGTGGATTGCAGCATCCTATAATATTTTTTGAAACCTTCTGATTTTCTAGTCCTCTGCCCGGCTGGAGATTCTAACAAACAAACTTTTATAAGAGATAACCCTTTGTTAAGCAGATAACATTATTCGAATAATGAAGACATTCTAATGTAATGTAATTTGACTTGCTGAAGTTCTTCCTACTCTGTCGAATGTAAATTATGTGCAACAACTTTTTACAAGTGTAGAGATATGTCGATTTTCTTCAATAGACTTGCAACCTTATTACTGTTTTGTATAGAGTTGTAAATCTGGTACGATAGCTGCATATCGTCTAAGCACGAACTTATAAAATATAATTAATTGGATAAAGTTTTTTGGTATTATAACAATGGGAAGGGAACAATATATTCAGATCTTGCGTATTGCAGCCCAACGGATAGATGTAAACAAGAATGCTATAGAAATCTTGGATTCGAAAACTAACACAGGCATATTCAAATCGAGTCCCAAGATATTTGATTTTAATTATTCGTTTGTTTTTTTTACAGTCAGTTCATTATCTACAAGTCATCGTTTGGGTGGTGCAGAGATGTACTAGGTTGGTGTGAAACTGCAATTGGTTAAGAGTAATAGTGGTGTATATAATAATATGTATATTTTTTAAGGGGGGAAAATCATCGAATGCCTTGACTCCTGCACTTTAGGCCGGAGCCCCGGTAAGCTTTCACGTTTTTCGCTGTTCCGTATTGGCATCAGCTCTACCTACTGGGCTCCATCCGTGGTGTTCTGATGGCTATTTGAGACGCGCGTGGCATGAAACGCACTGTACGCTCTGGTCTGGTTCTGGTCCGGCGGCGCAAGCTGGAGCTAACCGTGCTCGCCGTTTTTTGGTAGAAATGCAAACCTTTGTAAGTTAGTGTGATTGTGTGTCTGTTTGTTACTTAATCACGTCAAAACGGCTGAAGGGATCGGGTTGAAATTTAAAACAGGGATAGGTTATGGTCTGGAAAAATACATAGTTTACTTTTTATCTCACGGGAATGCAGGCGAAGCCGTGGGCAGAGCACAGTAAAAACATTATAATTATTCGATCATCAAAACTTTGTGTTGTAAATATTAATAACGAACTCAAAAACGAAGGTGTATGTAACTATAATGGCTTTGATGACACTTTATAAGTGTTAACGGCGATATGACTAAAGCATGGAGTTAAGAATCAAGTAGCTTTTTCCAGGCGTTGCGAAGTAAAGGGCTCTTGAATGAAACAGTCTATAAGCCCCTGAATATGTAACAGTAATCCAAAGATGATACAATCTTTATAAATGTTTAATACCAACGTTAAAGTAAAAGAAGACCAAAAGTTAGACACCTTTTAACGTTCGCTTTATTTTTATTTTTTTCTGTGTTTGATAGATGAGTGACCATATCAAATAGATGAGACAGTTCCAAGTAATAAATTATGAACTAAGAAACCAAAGGATACTAATAGTAGGTAACTAATAACTTATTCCTGTTATTTAAAAAGAAAAATATAAAAAAGTTTATAAACAAAAATATTTATGCAGCAGATGCAAAGGATGTGCATTTGAAATATAAAGAAATAAATAAGAATATATATAAACAAATCAGAAAGCACAAACATATGAAGGTCATAATCAAAAATAAACATTTGCGATCAACTCCCTTTCAACGAAGCTACATCGCGTACGTGAAAACCTCAAATAAGGTTTTCTCGTCTTTCGCATGATGGTAATAATATTTTATTAAAAGCTTTCTAGCGTAAGGGGCGTACCAACGACAAGTAGACGCATCACTCTGGCGATACGTTAATGTTCCACAATTACTCCAATTTCTATTCTTACTACAGTTTTGGCTTGTCTTTTTAGGAAATCTGATATTTTATTTTCATTGTCATATCGACAGCTTGTACCTAGATAATGCTGGACTACAGACAGACGAGTAACTATCTTCGAGAGGACCCTAGGCAAGCACCTCGTGGGCGCCCCTCATTTTTTGGTGGAATCTGCAGTCACGATATGGGCCTCCGGGTGTCCCGGCGCTCTTCTATAACCTGGCGCCCTAACCACTTGCCTAGGTTGCATTAGGAATACGGTTCTCTACATTTGAAAGTTTCTTATAATATCCATTTAGAAGATATGTTTAAAAATCGCTATTTAACTAGTTTAAAAGCAGAGAGCGATTGTATCATCTCTGTCATATATGTCGTCACCTTGTCTGCTCTTATCATACCCATAGGAGGAGAAGGGATAATGAGAAATGTATACTACTGCCGTTTACATAATCATATTTTGAACTGTTTAATTCACTAGAACACATAAAAAGTGGCTTTCGAAGTTGTAAGATAATATATCAAGATACCAGTGATATACAGTGAAGGGTGTCATGGTGATGCTGACGTCTGGATTTATAACTGGTGTTTGATCTTTATTTGTTTAATTTAAACATGGTCGTTAATGAAAAAAAATATTTTACACTTCAGAAGCTCTATTCTTTGAGTGTAAATATTAAATGTTAAATAGTTTAAAAGTTTCTCTCAGGGTTTACATCTGCATACATAAACATGAAGCTATGAAAACACCAGTATAAACTGACCGGTGAATGTTCGGAAAGTGCATACAAAGTGAGATTACAGTATACTGGTTATGTACAACTTGATGTAGCCATGTGACATAAAATATCTTGTGACAAACTGTACCGTGAAAAATCTTTCGGCACGCTCTCAAGCGTCTCGGTCCCGTTTTATTCTGTTATTGTGACGTAAACCAAAGGGCTAACCCATTTTTGTGTCATTCTGTAGACAGAGCTCATTGCAAAGTCTTTTTACCTGTATAACATTCTAGTTAGTTGGTAGGTTGAACTACATAAATATTTTTTTAAATGTACGTTTTTTTTTTGGTTCGTTCTATAAGTGCTGTTTACAAAGTTGATGCTGGATAATTATGGAAGTTCTCAACTAAATTATTCAATATAGAATTCGAAATAAAGAAACTTAATTCTTTAACTTCACTTGTCACAAAAGGAGAACCAAAATAATCAATCACTTTCTATGTGACGCAAGGTATATTCCTACAATCAAGCGGATGAAGTGATTCCAACTAAATTGTGCCTGGCAAGCTTTGTACTCAGGAACGAAGTTTGTTTAGTTCCTTGCTGGGACACCACAAGAGCACACTACAGAACACCGAGCAAGCATAATCAAAATTACATAGACTTGTCTACAGAAGAGATGACTTCTGTCT